TCTTATCAAGTCCTATCTCTGTGCAAAGTTTCAGGTCAAAATTCAGAACTCAGTTTTCTTGCTGTTTCTGAGGAAGATCACGATATTGTGCTAAAAAGTACCATAAAAATGCAATAACTCGGCAGAGATAAACCGTTCGCGGAACCTTTTTTTCAAAGTATTCATATAGTTTATTAGAATCTACATGATACATGTAGTCCTGACTCAAAAGCAATTTGACACCAGGATATGTTCTCTTGTAAAACCGATTCGAAGCTCTGTTATGAAGAGTTTTGGTTTTTTTTTTGGTTCAACTGGATCTAACATCTAGCAGTTTATAAACAGTTTGTAACGTTCAATCGGAAAAGAATGTTCTTAGAAATAGACGAGAAAGCCGAAGTTCAATTTTTTTTGCACATTGTGGAAAGAAAGATGTGTTTTTCAAGAAGAACAACATTTTCAAAATGTTCGATGTTTTTTCACTTGAAAAGAACGTCCATACACGGCAAGAGCTAACCCCCCCCCCCCCCTGCAATAGAAGATCCCGGGTCTTCTATTATGTTCCAGCGTAAAAATTTTCCAGGGGGTCTTCTATTATGTCCCATATTTTTTCCCAATTTCTAATTAAAAAGGTTTTCCAGAAAACCGAGGCGATTTTAAGGATTTCCATCAGAATTTTTCAGGATTTTCAGAGCCTAGACATAATTTTGAACTTACTCTCTTAAGTTTTTCTGCTCAAAATCCTGAAAACCGGGCATATTTTGACGAAAATACACTAATTAAAGTTTCTAATTAGCAAAAAATTATTTAATTAAAGGTGGGTCTTCTATTACGATCGGTGAACTTTTTCTTCAGGGTGGTCTTCTATTATAGAGGGGTCTTCTAATATGGGAGGGGGGTCTTCTATTGTAGGGGGGGTTTAGTTTATTGTGATGAAAAATTTCATACTCTGTCAAGCCAAATGTAAACAAGACGCAAAAAAAACGTAAATATTTGATCAAAAATACAGAGAAAAATCGTAGTAGAAATAATCATTTTACTCTACATGAAAATATTGTCTTATTCATATCTTTCTCTGACTCAGTTAGCTTTACAAAAAAACTGTAAGAGTCTATTAAAAAAAATGATCTTCATGCTCATCAAGTGATATTCATCGTAAATGTGTTAAATGTTAATAGAAAAATCAAGGCATTTTCATTCTCAAGACCTTTACTGATTAATGTATACGATAGGTATATTGTATATGTTGTACGAAGAATGTAAGTGTTTTTTTCCTGGATATAAAGAAACCATATTCGAATGTCACACCTGCACACTCTTTATTTGAAACAGAAAACTTTGAAGTGTATACTCATCTACGCATCAATGTCAACAGTATTTTATAAATTCTTCGTTCAACATGAACCATTGTTTTTTTCTGTTTGACGATCATTATCATTTATATTGCTCAATCTTTTACAATAAATTTATTAGAAACGGTACTTACAGCAGTTTGCATTTGATGTTTATATGTTATTTTTTTTTTTTTTACAGAATAATAGAATATCGTAGGCTTGTCAATGAATCATGAAATAATTCTTTGATAATCATAAAAATAAATATCTTAGTATTGCACATCTGTTATTATAATTAAAAAAAAGTAAGTTGTGCGTAATTTTAAATACTTTGAGTGATATAAAAACATGTTTTTCTTTCAAATTTGATTAGCTATCTTAATGACTTATCTTATTCTTATTGTAATTTATGATAAAATTTACATTAATATTGGTTGATTAATACATTCAATCTTCTTTCTTATCTATTCTATTTTATATGTAATAATTGAAAATAATACATTCTACTCGAAAAAAGACTTGACATTTGATAGACTCGGTTTTTTTTCTTTAAATAGGTTTCAATAATTAAGTTTTCTTTTGTTCATAATTATTCATCTAAAATTACACAAATCTCTAAATAGTTTTATCATAAAAAGCTTTTGATAGAATTCTTCACAAGAAATTTTCATAGATTTCAATTAAAAAAGTAATCAAACATTCAAGAATGAAAAGTTCTTGTATTAATATTAATTATTGGTAACTGTTGTAATAAATTAGTTGTAACACATTGTCATAACGTAAAGAATAGGAGATAAAACTTGCATTGCAATTCTTTTGTCGACAACTAACAATACTATTGACGCAAACGTTAAGAGCAAATATGACTTTTTTTTTCTTCTCAACTATTTTAAGAGTATTCCGTTCTTTATAATTAATATGAACTATACCGTGATAATATACGAAATAACTTTTTTTAAAATTTTGTATAGACACGGTTAACATCATGATTCAAAACATTCTCTATCACATCAATATATAAAAACGAAAAAGAAACTTTTCTTCCAGTAGTTCGATCGCACATTTCATAGTAAGCTTCAAATGAACTATTTTCAGAATATGTTCTTCCATTTATAGATAAAAAGAAATAGCATACACGAAACTATCAAAGACACAATCAATTTCTTTTTCATTCGATAGCTTGGATAATAGTATAGATAAATTTTACGGCAACAGAAAAAAAACGAAAAGAGCGAGAAAAGATCCAAAAAAATGTCATAATCATTCCCTTTATATTTTTACTATTTTAAAATACTAATCAGTGAAGCATAAATAACATTGATTCATAATAGGAACACTAAAACAAAACATGCTCTTTTTATTTTGCTTTTGATTGAATCGATTGTTATTATAACTTGATGAACAAGATATAAGTAGGTAAGACAAGCCTATTATTTAATTTAGCAAAGATAAAATAAAAGCATACATTTTTTTTTCTTTAACTAATCATTCAGTATGAATATTGTTTTGAGATATATGAAAAAATAACATTTTTTTTCCTTTTCTTCCGACTGATTTTATAATTCTTTTTCGTTCTTTTTATTTATATTATCTATTATTTATGATTAATTAAAATTTCTAAATCCCGATGCATTCATAGTATTAAATTATTGCCACCATGATGCACATAGTGCCAACAAAAGTAGCTTCTTTTTCTTTTTCTTCTCCGGTTTATACGACAAAAAAAATAGACCTTTTTAAATTAGTTACCATAGAAAAAGAAAGAGAAAAAAAAAGGGACTCAGAAATAATTTTACATGAGATGAATGCCATCGTGTCATGAAAACAATTATCTTCAGTTTCTTTCACAGCAACTATTTTCAGAAAATAAGATCAACAATACAATGAAGTCTTACGTTGTAAAAGATAGGATTCTATAGTAATCATTAGAGTGCTAAAAAATATCATGTAAGTATTCTTGTCATCAAATGAACTTCAATAAATACTTTTCAATGTATCTGTTGCATAATAAACAAGATTATCATAGCATATATTTTTTCCTTATAACTTTTTCTCATAAAAAGTTAAATCCCACATATAGACATAGTTTATGTTTTTTAAAATTTCAATCAAACTAAATCGAAAGAAAAATATTTTAAAACTTCATTAAAAACAAATAACATTATTTTATTTTTTTTTCATTTCATCTGTCTTGATTTTATATGATTATCATGCAAATTTCTCCTTCTATAAAAGAATATCTTTAGTGTTAGAAGATGTCTCTTTAATAGGAAGTTCCTTTGAATTAACGATGCTTCAAACAGAGCAGATGATTTTCTCGTAGTTATTTTATTAATTAAGACATTGTTACTTTAATCGGGAAGTAAGCCTAGTTTTCAAAATTCTGAGTTGAAGATAAAAAAGACTGAAGCCAAAAAAATTTCTTTGCTTTTGTAATCCTACAAAATCTCCTAGACACTTGCAATTTTCTTTGAATTTTTTTTTTACTAATCAGCACTTAAAATAGAGGAATTTAATGGAATACATCATAGAACATTTAGCTGCTTGAACGTTAAAGCAAATCGCGAATCTTCTATTGTTGGAGGATGGTGGTTGGTGAGTATATTAGAAATATACATCTATATAAATTCATGTTATTTCAATGGTTATTTATGTTTGTTAGGTAGTAGTATAGATTCTTTGATTTACTACTCTGATTGTTCTCTTTCTCTCTTATATTTATATGCAAAAGAGAGAAAAACTGAAGTTCTAAAAAGAGAACGAACGAAATGTTCCCAATGCAACAATCAGAAAATAATATATAAATAAAGATGAACAAACAACAGAATGACAAAGCTAGTGAAACAAGGGATATATGCCACTACTTATAAGTATTTTTTTATTTTTTTAGTAATGAAAAAAATTTATATTTGCATTAAATTTGATTTTATTAGATCGTTGCATAAATATTTTTTCTATGCTAAAGTATATTAATACTTTCTTATATATCTTCGTTTTCATGAATGAGAATAAATCAAAAATTGGATATGAATATTATAATTGTTACAAATGAAATTTTGTTTTTATTCTTTTTACTACGTTAATCTTAACTGCGAGAAGAATTGATAATCGAAAAAAAAAACTTTGTAAGTTTACAATGTTTGAAAAAGAAAGTAAATTTCTTGGAAAATAAAAATAAAACAAGCCGAACTAAAATTCATTCAAACATCACTATTTTTTCCTAATTTTTGAACCTTTCTTGTGAAATATATACCTAATACGAGTGTAATATTCATATTAAAAGAAATTATTTATTAATGAAACCAGTCGTCCTTTGTAATTGACTATCCCCATCTGATATTGCTCAAATGTTCTTCTAGCTTTTAGAAGCAAAAGAAAAAATCATTTGATTATTTGATAGAAGTGTTTTTAATCTAACGCGAAGTATTGAATCCTCTGGGAATCGTAGAAACAAAGAAATTTTCACGATAGAGATGTTAATCCAACAAACTTATCTTTTCTACAATGAATTCCAACAATTTTAGTGACATAAAAGGGGGAAGAAAAAACAAAAGAAAACGAAATAATAATAATGTTTTATTTAATAATCTATCATTATTTGTCAAGAATATTGTGCATAATTTATAAAACTTCTCTTATTTTCTATTTCAGTCTTTAATCAATCATATACGAAATGATTCCCCTTTAATGTCAAGTGTAATAACAAAAAAACTAGATTTATCATTTACTAACAAAACAATTATTACTGTTTCACTTATTATAACAATATTTAGTCTCTATTATTTTGTTATCAACAATAAAATATTATCATCAACAAGAAATCCTCTTGTTTCATCGTCATCATCAGCAACAGCAGAAGGACTTAATTCTAATCAATGTCGATTATCTATGAAAGAATCTGACGATTGGTTTTGTGAATTAGATTCTGATTGGAAACATCGAAAAATACTTCATCATATACAAGACAAACGTAATCGTGTATCAGATGCACGTCCATTATTTTTTCAGAATAATTGGGAGCCAACAATACAGTGTGAATTCGAACGACGTGTTGGTAACAGCGGTGATGGTGGAAAATGGGCTTGTGACATACATCGTTTTGGATCTATGAATACAACAAATATATTAGTTTATTCATTGGGTTCTAATGGTGATTTTAGTTTTGAACAAGCAATTAAAAGACTATTTCCAAATGCAGAAATTCATACATTTGATATGGGATTATATCAATGTCCTCCAAATGTTTGTTCATTTCATCAAGTTCGTTTAGGAAGTGGAAAAAATGATAGTTCAAAATCTTTACAAATGATTGTGAATGAACTTGGTCATCAAAAACGACAAATTCATATACTTAAAGTTGATATTGAAGGCAGTGAATTTAATTTTTTTGAAGAATTATTTCAATCTTCAAATGATAACCCAAGTAATTTACCGTATATTCGTCAGATTCTTTTTGAAATTCATCTTGGTGGTGATAGAACTGAAGCACCATGTCAACGTGCACATAAATTATTTGAATTATTTCGTTCAAATAATTATGCAATATTTCATAAAGAAGCTAATTTATATGATGCACAAAATGTTTTTGAATATGCGTTGTTACGTTTAAATCCAGCATTCTTTATGCTTTCGTTATAATTGTTTAAATTCATTAGATATTCTCATTTATTATTTATTATTTGTTATAGAAATGTTTGTTTTGTTATTTGACAGAATCGATATTATTTAAACAGAAAAAATGAACTGAGTTTTCATGCAATTTTAGTTTATGTTGCTTTTGGTTTAAAAAAAAGATTTGATTATTAATTAATAAAAAAGAAAACATCATATTAATCTAATTGTTGCAGACACATGAAGAATACGTTAAAATAAATAATCTGTGACGTAGTCCAGAGTTTTGAAGTCATAGGCTGTTTCTCGGCTAAATGATTTTGAGAAGGAGGCACCAGTGAGTAATTGAAAATCAATTGGTCTACAGTTTTCTTAAGAACATATTGCCTTCACAAAAGTCGATATTTATTGAAGAGAAGTTCATTACTGCGAACTAACGAGAAAAGGATCCAAAGTGATCCACCACTTTTAAGTCGGAGCTATGTGCACCATATAGGCCTTAATTAGCTATGGATGCTCTGGAAAGAGTTGTGACCGAAAGCTTATTGCCGTGGAGAAGAGGTCCAAACAGGTAGTTGGGCCTGCGCCTGTCTCTTTGGGACAGGCACAGACCATGCAGGCTTCTTAAGCCCCCCCCCTCCGGCTCAGAAATTCATTTTTTTGATAAAGTAATCGAAGTCGAGTTTTTATCATAGGAAAATGCAGCGAAGTTGCCTCTTTCAGAATATATATAAATTTTTAAAAGAAGGTCAAATTTTTACAGACTTTCGCGGGAGATTTTTACCTCACTACCCGGTTTTCGGAGCGATTTTCGCGGTTTTTCTTATTTTTGGGAAGACTACTTTTTTACTTCTATCAGCATCGAATAAACATTCTTATATCATATAGTACGACCTGTAGTGCTAGCTTACGCCATCTATTGCGTGCTTTCAAAAATTCCGCATAAATATTATCAATATACCCTTATTTCCTGCATTTGAATGAAAAACTCCATTTCTAAAACTTCTTTAGCGTTTTTCTCAAAACATGGTTTCCAGACAGGAAAATTGAAATAACTTTCGCTTGGCCGGGGGTTGCCCCTGATACTTTTTATTTATTTTAAAGATCTTGACAAGAGCTAACTTTTGATCGGACGGATTTTTGATACTTAACTCCTGGACTAAGAAAAGTTGGATTTACTGTCGTCCGTTGACCATTTTTAGGCCTACTTTGAAAGTCATGTTCACTGAAATGTTCATAAAAAATGAAGAAGAGGGAATTTAAAAATTCTGTTCAACAAAAAGTTGCGCACAAATGCTAGCTTTGATTTGAAACCAGCCCGACCTCGATACGTCTTATAGCCATGAAGTTATTTCGATTCTTGTGGAAGGTATAAAACAAGCCGAAAGTCCAGTTTAGTAAAGTATATAAGGCTGAAATTTTTACCATAAGCGTTTCTCACTAGTACCACTCATTCGTGAAAGTTCCAGCCCAAACGGACCGTTCTAAGTGGCAAGTCGATTTTGAGGGAGGGAGGCTTAAGATAGACAGGCCACCTGCCTGTCACATTTTTTCATGATTTCCAATAAAGAAAATTATTTTTGAGCTGCAAAAATACTTCGACAACCACAGTGGAGTACCTTGAACGGTGTAACATGGAAAGCAAGCATTTGCCGTTGTTTGTTGTCAAGACATGATGCTATTCCCATTGAAATACCAGCTAAACAATAGCATATACATAAAGCGGTCAAAAATTTCTGAGAACTAGTAACATCCCTTAAATAAGAAGCACATTATGTTTATTTGTGTTCAGCAAAGGTTAGAAGACATCATAACAATCTTCGATAGCAAGTTCGATTTACTTTTGAATAATCTTTTTGTATTCATCGACTTGTGTCAAACTGATGGCTCAGTTATTGCTGAGTAATACTTGTCAATCAGTACCGACAATTTGACGAATTTTACGCAATGGACACTGCAATAATGTGATATTGTGACGGGCGTTGAAAGACAGATTAGGTATCGCAGTATTAGATAGAGACAAGAGAAAAATTCTAGTTTGTAAAAGAATAAAACATTTAACTTGTCGTATGAATATGGAAACATATAAAGAAACAATGTTTGTCATTTTCTTTAAGATAAGTTGAGCATTACTTATTCATCAGGTGTATTCTATACGGTCTGCTAATGCTATCTAATGATCGCAATAATGTTTAAAAAGCATTAGTTAAGAAACTTTTCAACAAAAACTATCATGAGACCTCGGTGACATCAAATCCATCATCGTACTGCAAATCACACATGAAGAGTGTTGTTATTAAATTTCTCGAAAAAGAGAGTATTTGAATATATGGCCTATCAGACATATTCAACTGGCCTCGCTTCGTCTGAGCTTCTCTTGTTCAACGATTTTAAAATATCGATTAAATATCTACCTAGATCCAATAAATTTAACTAAGCAATAGCCGAGCCATCAGTTTGGTATATGTCGATGAATACAAAAAGATTATTCCAAAGTAAATCGAACTTGGTATCGAACATTTTTATGATGCGTTCTAACCATTGCTAAAGATAAATAAATATAATGTACCTCTTATTGAAGAGGTGTTACTAGTTCTCAGAACTTTTTGACCGTCTTATGTAAAAATACACAGGCCACAGCACGCAGGTCAGGTCATGGATGGAACCGGCACTGGTTACCGACCGGCCCGGTCTCAATTTTCCATTTTCCTGCTTTTATCACAAAGAGTAATGCAGCGTTGTAATTGGTTCTAATTGTATTACTGGTAGATCAGTAAAACCAGTATAGACCGGTTTCATCTCTGGATCAGACCAAGGTAAGCGCATCACAGACCCAGGCATGCTGAGAGACTCTACAGCTTGCTATGGTCAGGCCAGGTCTAAGAAAAGTAGGCCTGTTTGAACTTCTGCTGCCGAGATACTGCATTTTTACGGTATTTATAGGCAGAGCGCCGTGGTTCTCCTCAGGAACATCAGAAAAACTGGGTTTGGAATTTCGATATAAAACCTTGCGCAGACACAGAACTTAACGAGAGCAGTTTATTGTGAAAGTTTCAGATCTCTTGACTATCCCTATCCTATGGCACAGTTGTGATAAAAGCATGCTTGTACATCGCTCATACACACCGACAGATTCCCAGATGATCATTTATATGAATAGGAGCAATCAGAAGATCTGAAACTTTCACAGTTAGCTATTTTCATTGATGTCTGTCAATATACAAAGTCTCAAGTCGAAATTTTAAACTCAGTGTTTCTGATGCTCCTGAGGGGAACTACGGTGCGGTGCTTAAAAATACCGTAAAAACGGCATATATCGACAGCAATAAATTATCAGCCCGAGTTTTTTTCAGGGTGTTAATAGCTCATTAGGGCCTACATGTTGCACACAATCGAGACTTAAAAGCGATAGCTCACTTGGGAACCTTTCCTCGTAAGAGGCGGCTCGTTCACTTTTTTTGTATTTTTTCACAAATGTACTCTTCAGCTTTCGAATATTTGAATATATTACGTCAAAAAAGCATCAATACGTATAAATAGAATCGCTAGCGAATTCAAGTAGAATAACGGGTATTTAGACAAAAAAAACATTAAATAACTATGTCAAATTATATTTTCATCGAATCATATTGTTAATTGTTGGGGTGATCCAAANAAACATCATATTAATCTAATTGTTGCAGACACATGAAGAATACGTTAAAATAAATAATCTGTGACGTAGTCCAGAGTTTTGAAGTCATAGGCTGTTTCTCGGCTAAATGATTTTGAGAAGGAGGCACCAGTGAGTAATTGAAAATCAATTGGTCTACAGTTTTTTTAAGAACATATTGCCTTCACAAAAGTCGATATTTATTGAAGAAAAGTTCGTTACTGTCTACTAAAAGGCGGTTTGTTCACTTCTTTTGTACTATTTCATAGATGTATTTTTTAACTTTAAAATATTTATATGTATTTCGTCAAAAAGTATAAACAAGCACAAATAGAACTCCTAGCGAATTGAAGTGAGATAACGAGTGTTTCGACGAAAAACATATCATTGAATTATCATTATTGTCAGCATCGGTTTTATGGAAAAAATAACCACTTAATGTTTCTAGATCATTTGATTAGATGACAACAAGATACTATGTAATAAAATGACACTACTCAGGTCTGTGTGCATGTGTATGTATCAAGATTTATCGGCATTTCACAGTAACTATGATTTTTAAAAAAATTCATCAGCAAATGGTTTTGCATTTGTGATCAGTTGCTCAATGGCCGTACTCCTGCGAGTAAATAAGACACTTTCTACAATACATCTTTACATTTTCTGCTGCATTTTTAGTTTCTTCCACTCTCAAAAATCATCAGCTACTCTGAACCCGAGAATGCAAAAAGAGGACTTGTCATATTCATGTAGTTAAACTATTTATATCAGAAAGAGAAGCGTTAATTATATGGCTGAGACTATCGATATACTCTCGCTTTCATGAATTAAGAGTACAAACTGATAGTATCAAGTCATTAGAATGAACTATTCAGGTATGCTCTGCACCATTGATCAAGCAAGCAGTACAATATATAGGCCGAAAGTATTATTTAAAATTGTGATATCCAACTGTTCAGCTGTTACACTACTCGTTCTTGCTTAGATGCATATAGGTACTTTTATTCGTTGACGATATGATTTTGCAAAATAAAAATGTCTAGATCTCCGAATTTCGACTTTTCTTTTAGTTAATTCTTTTTTAACAGATCTATTCTGAGTTTTTCTATTTATCCTGACAAACTCAGTCCAATAAACATTGGTTTCGTCAAGGTAATATTGAAAAACCACCATCAGTGACGTAACATAAAAACAAGACAAAAGTTGCCACTACGTACGTTTCCGTTAACAAATCCTGCAAGCAGTATTTTTCAAAACGAAATAGTGCATTTTTTTGGAGCAATCTTTAGGCTAAAAAATTTTTATGCTAAGTTTTTTCTGAACATTCTTAAATTTTTCAAAAAATAATTGAGTTTATTCGTTGTTAACGGAGTGAGTAAGTAGGAATATAGAAACGGCCAATCTTCTTATAACTAAAGAAGAAGTCCAAAAACTAATTTCAAATGGTAATAATTCTTCTTATGAATTTTGAGATGATGAAAAAACAAAAAGTCTTGTTCTGGAACAAGATTAAACCTCTGTAAAAACCGATTTTCGAAAGACTATTTCTTAGAATCTGACCTTACTGAAAATTTGGAATCTGCTTTGAAATTCTTGAAATTTTGCATCATAAACTTAGAGATTTATTTGCTAATTACGCTCTGTTTAATTCACTTTAATTAGATTTGAACTGAAAGAGCCAATATTTTTTCATATATATATATAGCAAAAGAACTTGTTGAAAAATAACTCGTTTGAAGAATCAAACTCAAATTGAAAGTGGCCATGTTCCATTTTCTCTGATCTCACCCATATATCTACGATTGATTATGATATAGATTCGTATCGATGATTAAAAATCAATTTATCACTGAAATCAAGTCAAATCATGAAAAGAAAGAATATCAAAGAATAAATGGTTCAATATATCAAATTATGCTATAAAATTTTGCAAAACTCATACCATATGATGCTGTCAGAAATAATGAATTTAAAACCAATCTATCAGATTATATAACAGTGTACTTTGTTTATGTACCTTTCCGTACGATTGAGAACACCTTTCGTTAATGAAATGACGCTTATACTGAATCAAACAATGATGATTCTTCTGTATTCTTTCAAACGTAATTCTTACTTGATTGAAGAAAACTAAGTACATCGGAGTATTTTCTCTTGTATATGTAATGGTGTCAAATTGGTATTGATCAGCTTATGTTATTTTATCGATCATTAATACTTCGAATCAGAAAAGTTATAGTAGTTCTCAAGTTGTCTTAGGTATTTACTGGAAAAAAATCTCTCTCTAGATACTCGGTACCTGTTTCTTTTTTTTTTAAATCTCTGTATAATGAGCTTCTTAGAATCTTTAAAAACCTTAATTTTGTCATAGAGATTGATAGCAATTGTGTATAAAATCAACACAATTGTGAAAATTTCAATGGCTTCTTTTATTCTAATAGATAAGTTAAATAACTATATTAATATGCTATTAAGAATAATTTCATTTCGAAAAATAGATTATTTCTTGTCTTTGCATCAAAATTCACTGAATAAAATCTCATCTTCTACTATTGACCAACAGCGAACTCTCAACATTGTTTCTCTTTTCGATTGATTAACTCATAAAAGACTATCAATAGACAGTTAGTATCCAAATTGAAATCACTTCTAACAGATTTACATAAAAACGAATATTTTTTATTTCTATATAATTGATTAATTATAATCGATCAATGATTAATTTCCTTTTTTCATAAATTGTCAGCTTAGAGGAAAAAAATGCGTTTCTCATTACGCCGATTAGATATGACATGGGGTTGGATTGGTCATCAATGTGGAAAAGTAAAGTTTTTCAGGTTTTTTATTTTTATTTGAATGATGCATTTTGTCACGTCTCACCCAGATTGAATATACATTTTCATCTTGTGAACAAAATCCATATGCTGGTGTTTTCGGGGATGTCACACATATCGATATTATTCTCGACTTTTAAAAACAATTAACACTATATGGGTGCCTAATATTCTTCTTGTTTATTTAGTTTATGAATGAACAAATAGAGAATATGATCGTTGTACACGAAAAATTTCTAATCAATTTGCGAATGAAAAATCACCAGAAAAAGAAAATGCTATAGCAGGTAGTGATAAATAATAGATAATTAATTGTCCTATATAGTCTATTTCCATGTTCGTTTTTTTCCTATTACTCATTCCATATTTTTCTATCACTATGTAATGTCAAGTTCAACATATCATTTTTTTTTGTTTTTTACGTTGGTCTTAATAGAGATATAAACAACCGATGATGAATAATTCAATCATTGGTAATTGTAGATCATCATTATTAATTTAGATGTATAAAGTTTTTTAAATTATTGGAGAAAAAAATGCCGTATATGTTTATAAATATATCAAAATCAAAAGTAAATTTTTTACTGTTGAGAGCAATTTTAAATTAATAATCTTCTGTATGTAATTGATTTATAAAACTTAGATTCAAAAGAGTTGTGAACAATTATTCACAGAAATTGATGACGATATAAAATCTGCTCATAAGTAATTTTAATCAAATCTTGAAATACAAACTTATCATTATATAAGACAATATTATCATTTCATACTTAGCTACATATTTTATAAGGTGTGAATGTGAGTGTGGCTGGGTCTATTGGTGAAAAGAGAACCACGCCCACACCCGCTTTCTCTATCATCGCTAGAGAGCTGCGAATCATTCTAGATCTGTTCGAGTCCAAAGTTTTAGTTTTCTGTTGTGTCCAGATTTATACCTAGATTTAATTGCAACCTTTCGATTTGTATTCATCTTTGAGTTTGTAACGAAAAGAGCTGAAGTCAGTCTACTCACGTATAGCATTTCGGCAACAATTCAACTCTAGATTAACTATTTTTTAACGAAAGAAAGTCTTCAATTTCAATCAGGTTTATCCCAGTTTGTAGAACTTAATAAAATAATCACGATGACATACAGCATTCTTCTTCGTAAACTTTCTCTAAGGAATTACATTGATCTCAACTTTCGAAAAATGACTTTGACCTGTTATTTCGAAAACTTTAATTTTTGTGTTAGTTAACCTCTCAATATTGAACACTTTAACACTGGATGCGCCTTAATTGACTCTACATATCCATATCATTTACACTACGAATGTACAGATTTCATCTATTATTTCAAAGTTGATCATAATTTTCTGGGAATACTATTTTAAAAACATAGTGCTTAAATTTTTGCCATATAGATATCTTGTTTGCAACAGTCTCTATTCTATTTAGTTACTTTGTCACATGTTTATGTAAAAAAGTACAACTGATAAGACAAGTAATTGAAACATGATTAACAATATTCTTAATAAATGTCTTATATAAATTAACACACAATTGGTATTGGATGAATTTTGCAAAAAATATTTGAATTCCATACGTCTTCAGTGCTCATGGTATTGAAATATTCAAAGTATAGACGTAATTGGAACGTCTATTTATGTTGACTTTGTGGATATGTGCAGTCAATTAGGGTTCATTCAGTGTTAGTTTTCAATGTTGAGAATTTAATCAACACAAAAACTAAAAATTTCCTGAATAACAGCCTACAGTCATTTTTCTTAAGTTAATATCAACCTAACTTCTCAAAGAAAGACTATGGGAAAGGTCGTATTATGCCATAGAAATCAGTTCATTATGCACTACAAATTGACATAAAGCTGATTGAAGCCGGAGGCTCATGCTTGGAGATCTTTTCTCGTAAGAAAAAGTAATCAACAGCTGAAATTTTAATCCTTCTTTAGGTCATATGCACAAAAAATACCAGATATTTATGCAAAAAAAACTCGGCTGGATTTTAGACCCACACTTCTCTAATCATCGTTATTATGTTATTAAATTTGAAATTCGTTTTGTAATTATTTTTATTTTCACGTATTTATATATTCAAAATTTTTCGTTCAATTTAAAATCAATCCAAGTAAAAATTCGAATAATTTTAAAATATATCTATACTATCAAACTTGTAGGAAAATAATTCACAATAAACTAATTCGATTTCTTCATAAGAATGAAATAAAATTGAATAATAATAAATCGTTTCAACTTTGATATTCATTATTATTTTTTTTTTGTACAATCTTCCGATGAATGTTTGTCAATAAGTTTACAGAAAATATATCACAGCTACATTTGTTTGTTTTTTTTCAGCGACAAATAGACAGCAAAAACAAAAAACGACATGAAGAAAATGATTTATCTGACAAATACATTTCATTGACGCACACATACATAATACAATACGGTGCTTTCAAATTTTTATTCTCGACTAGGACAATGAATAATAAACGAACATAAACCAAAGTTAGAGAAAACAAGAAAAAAAAAAAAACAATTTTTCTTTTGTTCCTTTTTTTGACATGAAATTCAATTATAAATAAAGTTGAATCGACTAAGTGCTTGTGGTAAACTTGATATGATTGGACCATAACCAGAAGCATTATCATATAATTCAAATAGAGGTGCAGCAACTAATTTATAATTACGTGGAACTGCAAACATTGATGATTCACCAAGTTGAACAAGATATAATCTAATTTAAAAAAAAATAAATAAATCATTTTCTCTTGTCTTATGTTTTGGCTTACCGAATATGTTCTTTTGGTTTAGTTATATGTGCAGGTACATATGGATAACGTGGTGCTTCAAAATTTGGACGCCACCAATTACCAATAACATCTTCAACAAGCCAATTATTTTGTTGAGTAGAATCTGGTCGTCCTAATGTTTCATTTAATAAGCGTTTAAGACCTTCAATTGAATCTTCACCGGGATTTAGTTCTCCACCTGAAATTATTAAAAACCAAACGAAAAAAAAAAATTTTTTTTTCTTCAATTTTACGTTTTCTTCTTACCAGGTAATTTAAAAAATGTTGTACCTAATTGAAGAAGTAGTACATGAGGCAAATTATGTTCATGTACTAACAAAACAGCTTCAACACTACGTCTCATACCCATTGTTGTAAATTCTTCTCTCATACGTTGAAATCTTGCTTGAACTGAACTATCACGTTCATATAATGCATCTTTTGTACCAAATGTATAATTTGTTAATGGATATGTTTGAATTGTTCGTTCTAATGCCATTGTTTGTGTCGGATGAACAAATGTTCGATTAATATTATTATTATTATTAGTTGATGATCTTGGTGATGTTGCCATAGAGTTTGTATTATTATTTTGATCTGTTATTGTCGTTGTTGATGATGGTACTATAGGTGTTGTTATTGGTACGGATGTATTTGAATTATTAGTAGATGTTGGAGAAGATGATAATGTTGTTGTTGAATTCATTCCTGGCCAATTCGTACGAACAAGTTGTGTGGAATTATTTGTTAAATTTGTTGCTACAGACATAATTTTTATAGATTTATATGGGATAAGATAACAAAAAACAAAATCAATATGTAAAGAAACCACAAGGTTATTTTAACAATTGACGTTGAACCAATGTTGAATTACTGAACAAAGAAGCAACAGAAAAAAAAAACACAAATCAGTCAATCAAATAAATATAACCAATCATTGACGATATTATTCTTGAAATATAAGAAATCGTATAATAGTGACAACTATTGAAAGCTTAGAAAAATCAGTTCTTTCTAATCTGAAATTACGTTATATATATATATATATGTAGAAAATTTAGAATACAAAAATTACATTAAGAAGGGAAGAAGAAAACATATTACCATATTTTCTGTGTCTGTAACAGTATTACTATTGCAAACATCAATATAAATGTAATAAAATAAAGCGTACTCTATAATAACAGTATTATCTAATGATGGTCTCAATATTAGAAAGAATACATTTCAAGGATTATTAGTGTTGACTTCTATATTCAAACGTTTCGTTTCAATCTAGAGAATTAAGCAAACGATCTAAAGCTAATTGAAATCAAATAAATAATAATTGAATCAATTTCTCATATATGAATGGAATTTCAAGGGTTTTCTTGCATAGCTAAACAAACACATATGCCTGAGGGTACTTGTAGTAGCATTTATTTTTTTTTTTCTTATGTCGGAAACTAAGAAATATTTATTCATCTAATAGAATAAAAAAAATATCCTTTTGATATATTTCTTTGTTCCATTAATTATTATTTCTATAATTGAAAATTCCTACCGCCATTTGAGTGGAATATATCAAATCACAATTTTTTTTTGTCACAAAACGAAAGCGACGAATAAAACATACACATACACATCTGACATGATGATTTTCAATAAAAAACATCAATCAAAATCGTTTTTATTTAAGATTTGATAGTCCTAATAATTTACTAAGATATAATACAACCCAAGCAGCATTCATTGGCAATGATATTACTTCATGTGGTACATTTCCAATAAATGCACATTTTAAATAAATATGATCACTAAATGTTGCTGTTGTAAAACAAACAGCAAATGCACCAATAAATGATCCAATACCAACTAATGAATAAAAAAGCCAATCAAGATTTGGTATTTCTTCTCGTTTACTCGTCCATAATGATAAACGAACACCAAAAGCCATCGAAAGTATTTTTAATATTTGTTCAATACATAATTGACCTGTTACAGTATTTCTTTGATCTGATGTAAAATCCGATGTATGATAAAAAATATTTATTAACCATTCACTTGTTAATGTTTGATATTCATCACAAAAAAAAATTAATAAGAAATTTATACATCCACATAATAAACCAGTTAACCCGGGTGGTAAATAATCTCCACAATATAATAAATCAAATAATTCATCTGATGAATGTCCTGGTGATAGTGATTGTTCACTTGCTTCAAATATAAGTAACAATAATATACTAATTGAAATTATTATAAATCGTCCTATATTATTTAAACTTTGTCTGTCACTTGATGTTGAAGCTAAAAAATACACAAATAAACAATGAAAATTAATGACTATTATTTTTTTCATTTAAATATAAAAACAAAAATAAAATATATCTTACGAGAATTATTAATTTCATTAATTCGTGAAACACTAATTCGACTAAAGAAAAGTGTACCAAAAACATGATAAAAAACATACGCTGTATAACTAACTGCAATACAATAAAAAAATATAATAGGATTTATGGCTAAATATATTGGTAAATATGATGGACAAAAACCAGTGAATATCATTGATATACCTAATAAATAACCACCTATTTGTATATCCAGTGTATTACGATTTTTATAACGATTTTCTATATATGAATATGCTACTAAATATTTATTTGGTGACATTTTGCTTAAAAGATAAGGTACACTCAAAAAAATAAAACTTGTTGCAAGATAAAATTTAAATAAATCAGTCTTAATAAGTAAAATATTTCGATCAAATGTATATGGATAATATAGTTTACTTTTTTCAAATATAAATCCATGTAATATATGAAGAATAATACTAAATAAGAATTTTTTATTGAAAATTACTTTTAAAATACCAGACAACATTTTTGATTTTTTGTTTTAAATTATTTATCAAATCAAAGACATTGACTCTTGCTGCGTTATTTCTTTTTTCTTAGTTTTTTTTTCGTTGACTTGTCCTCTAATATTACGCAGTCATGCATGACGCATATGTTTGTATACTTATCAAGTTTTTTTTTATTGGTAAATTGAAACGAAAATAAACTCTCGTAATTAGATTAGAGTATATAATAGTTTTAAATAGCGTGCATATCTAATTTCAAATGAATAAGCAAGCTCTTGTTTCATAGAATTAGGATCCGATAAGATTGTTTTTTTAATCGACAGAGTTTTTTCTAATCTTATTCGTTGTAACAGCATAAGACTTGAGCATACTTTATGATAAGCACGAACGAGGAAGAAAGACTCCCGCCGATCTGCAATAGTTGTCATTATTATTTCTCTTGTCAGTCTTTCTCTTGCTTGAAGGAAAAAGGAAAGAGGATAGAGATAGCTGACGCCCAATCTTTATATGTCAGCGTTCTATGCACGCTTCTGAAGTTTGCATATGCAACCACCAACATTACTACCACAACTACCAGCATTACTCTCAGCACACGGGAACAAGAAAAGAGGATCTTTTCAGTTCTCTCGAGGACGATGCCGTGCGTCACTCATCATAGAACATTTTTTTTTCAAATTACGTTCTAAGAACGAGCATTGAGAGAGAATCGGAGAAAGAGAGAAAAACAAGAGGAAGACGAATCAAGCTTGCTCGTGTAAATGTGAGTGTGTGCAAGAACTACAACATATTGATGTTGATATTATCAAGTGCCTGTGACGTTGCTGCCGAATCGTATCACCATGCACCCTCAGGCAGCGGTACCAACAGAAGCACCGCTTCGAGCATCATCTCCAGATTTTTCTTCACTTTCATATGAAGAACTTGAACAATTAGAACTTGTTCTACAGAAACAAGTTTTGATTGAAAATGAACAAATACAACGTTTGGCTGGTTTACGTCGTACTATGGTTCATCTTCAACAAACAATTGAAAATGATCATAAAAGACCACGAACTTTATCATCATCTACATCAAATAATTCTTCACCAGTACAAATAAATCAATCTATATTAACATCATCTGATATTGTTGAATGTTATATTTGTTTGTCAATAATTGAAGTACAAACAAATAATATTAATCTATCATCGCCGATACTTTGTGCTGATTGTCATCGACCTGTTTGTCGACGATGTGGCAATTATACATCACCAGAATTTATTCTGTCACATTATGCAATACATTTAGAAAATCAAAATCATGCATCGAAATGGCGCTGTCGTATGTGTATTGTACGTCGTGAAGTTGTTCGGAAGTCTGGTACGTGCTTGAATAAAGAAAAATAATCAGTGATATATATATATATATATTGAAAAATGAATGAAGACGTCTTTTACATATATAAATCTATTCGGATTTGTTTTAAAATAAGATGCATAGAAAAACTAGTCAAAATTAATTTATTTTTCTCACGAATAATTATATTTTTCCCCTTTTCTTGTTATTTTTTTTCTTTTTCTTTGCCATTAAAAAAGAGAAGAAGAAGACGAGGGAAAAAGGTGTCTCATCAATGACACCTTTACTTGTGTTAGTTATTCCTTTGATATAATTCTTCTTCTTTTTTAAAGAACTTCACGAATAAAATAAACTATAAGAATGAATCTTTTTCGAGGTACATGGAATATGAATGACGATGAAACATCAACTCACTCACCTATACGTTTATTACAAAAATTAGCTGCTTATCGTGCATCAATTGCTTCAACATCAATATCATCATCATCACCATCACCACAAAATGAACGTCATTCATCCATTCTTACTGAGTCAACAAATTTTTTTACACGTCTATGGCGTCCATCTCCTCAACAATCGACACCATCACCAACTTTAATTGCTTCACATGAAACACAGTCAGCATCATTTGATCATATACCTGAACCATGTTCAACATCAATAGATGTGTCATCTGGTTTATCATCACCATCTATGTTAAATCGTCGTATGTCATTCATACGTAATGTATCATTGAAAAATTCGTCATCTAATCAAATTTCTTTACAATCATCATCTATGACAATAGTACCTCCAATAATACCATTATTTCAAGCACAACCGACAACATCAAGTACAGTGACAAATCCTTCATTAGAAGATACAACATCTGAACAACAATTTGATACAAATAGTGAATTATTATCTCAAAGTTTAGAAACAAATATTTATAGTAGTAATCCACGCTTAGTTAATGATCAAGATGATGAGAGAAATTTTCAACAACAATCATTAACATATAATGAACGACATAGAAAATTAGATTCAATATTAAAACCAATGAAATTAGCTGTTGCACAATTATCATCATTACCTATGAAAATTATTGAACAACAACATCATCAAGATAGCGTTCCTTCGTCGGAACCTAGTATCGATATTAGTACGGTAAGTTCAAATAATCTTTAGCAATTTAAAAAAATAATAATAAATTTCAAATAATCATTAGAATATTATTCTTATTTTAAATAGTCATGTAGTCACTAAGCCAATGCATACTTCGTCATAGTAATATTAGTTATTAATGTCCTTGTCCTGTCTATCATAGAAAGAAAACATACACACGGACAGGTACGCAGAAAATCGTAGAAATACTTTTTTACAGAATGCTCACGCGTGAAGAACAGGAAATAAAAGAGAAAGAAATAATGATACAATACAACGTCGATGTTTCTCGTTCTAGATACTTATTTAAAATTAGTATTTAGTTTTTTCCGCTTCATAATTAGCCACAAGCCATTGAAAGAATGAAAGAAAGAGACAAGCAATCAAAAATATCTATACTTGTCTGTCAAATAAAAAAAAAAGCATTTATGTCGTTTAAGATATGCAAATGAGAAATAGTCTCTAATGAATTCTCAGATAGTATTTATATTCATTTAGAAATTATTATTTAAAATTTCTCTATGAGATGAAGATTGACATGAAGAATAATATAAATCATCATAAGATGTTAATTTTTTCTTTTATTTTTTTGAAAGAAAAAAAAAAAAGATTCAAGAAAATTTGTTTACGGTTATTTATTTTATTTTTTTTCTATCAGGCAATGGATTTTTCTTCTATTTCCATGTTAACAGAACAATCAGCAAATAGTAGTAGTGGAGAACCTTTATTGACAGAAAACGAATCAGTATCTGCAAATAAATATATGACAGATAATTATAATCGTCGACGAACAAGTCGTTCAAGTTTAAGAAATTCAGATTCATGGGCACGTAAAAGAGCATTATTGCATCGTGGTTATCAATGGACGACAACACTAGATAGAGAACCTTCGATAAACAATAATAATAATCAAATGATAGAAAGTCATTTTTCGAATAATATAAAATCGTTACCAAATTCTATAAATAAATCATCAGCGCATACAAATCAAGAGGAAAATCGTCCATCAACTGAAACACCAATTATAGCAGATTCAAAATCGAATAATACTCCTAATAGTTTATTTCATCGACGACGATCATCTCGTCGTTTACCAGAAATACCAGCTATTAATACAAGTAATAAAAATTCATCAAATAATGATACAGTAGCAGATGATTTAACATTGACATCATCGTCACATTCATCAACTGAATATCCATGTCAACTAATACAAGAAAATTCGCTTAGTACTTATTCAAATCGTTCAAAAAGTATTGATTCAGAAACATCATGTAAAAGTCGTTCATCACATGCAAAATTATTACACGCACATCAAACACTAAATGCCAAATCAATTGATATATCAAATTTAGCACGACAAAAATCTTTTCTTATTATTAATAATACGTTATTGCCACAACGTTCACTTGATTACCCATGTATTGTTCGTAAAGCACAAGACTTATCAGATATTGTTCGAACACGAATGTTATATTCAAAAATGAATAAACAACAACAAGGAAATAATTTTTCTATAAGTCTTGAACGTGAACATGTACCAAAAGTTCCAAGAAAAATTATTATACGACAAGATAATAGTATTGAAATTTCATTAAGGTAATTTTGAAATCATCTTAACATATATTGATTTATATTTTCCATCCTAAATGAGTAATGTTTTCTTTTTTTTTGAAACAACTATCACTTCATAATTGATTTAAGATTTTTTTTTTTGTCAAATACGTTGCATAATTTTGATCCTTTTCTTTTCAAAGTCAACCATCTAAACTTCGACGAAATACTCTATCAGAAGATTATTATTATGGCTGTAATTCAGACGCTGATTATGGTATGACACAAACATCTAGTGGTGCATCAACACTTGGTTTACCATTGTCAGCTTCTATATCAGGTTCAACAAGTGGTGATCGACGTAAAACAATTGAAACATGTGAAAATATTTATTTACATGCTGAAGAAAGTTCAAAATTACGCGCACGTACACCACCATCAAATCCACATAGAATATTACTTCATCGTGATAAAAATGATACATCAATGCGAACAAATGGTCTTGGAATGCGTATTGTTGGTGGACAAGAATGTGAAGATGGAAGTCTTGGTACAATTTTTTTAATTTATTACTTAATTGTAAATAAAAACAAAACTTTTATTTCATTCTTTTTTTAGGATGTTTTGTAACAAATATTTTACTCGGCGGTCCAGCTGATGTTCAAGGTAATATTGAAATCGGTGATCAAATTCTTGAATTCAATGGAAATTCTTTAATTGATTCAACTTATGAAGAAGTTCGTATGTTACAAGATCAATGTGGTGATATTGTACAATTAGTTGTTCAACATAATAATGTTCGATTACAAATCAATGGTGGACAAACATTATCATCTATGGAAGTTTCAAGACATTTTGAAACTGTACCACGTTTATCATCATCAATAACACGAAAGCGACGAAATTTACCTCCATTACCATCTCCATTATCATCATCATTTCCAAAACCACCAAAACGACAATTATATGAAACAGTTGAAACACTTGAAGTACCAAATGTTAAAGAACTTAAACCAATATTAATTAATCGTGGGCGTTTATTAGGTAAGTTATTAAAGGTTTCAAATGAAATAATTCTTATAAAATGAATTCTTTTTTTTTTATGAATGAATGAATCTTTTGATTTTGAATAGAATTTCCTGTTTTAGTTTCTTCTATTGAGGTAATAAAACAAGAACAAAACGGATTAGTGATTTTAAATAAGTAGATTATTTCCTAATCTACTTATTCATAATTCATTTTCAACAATCTATTATACATGGATTATATTTAAAAAGATTCATGTAATAAAAATGGTTACACCTCGTTATCAACATGATTTCAATCGTTTTTTTTTCTTTTCATCAAGAAAAAAGAAATAATTTGAATATATAGTTTGTTAATAAGTTTTACCGAAGTCAACAATGAAGAAAAATGATACTTCATATGGGTTCATATTACTAATCCTATGTATTCACACATATATACTTTGTTGAAAAGAGAAGATAAATGAATAAAGAATTAAAGTTATTATCTATTCTTTTGTATAAGAGAAAGGTTTTCATTAATCACTATTTAAATCAACTAAATGTCAAAAGCAAAAAAGATTCAGAAAATTAATGAGTCAGTATTCTAAAACAAAACAAAAAAGAATCTAGTCAAATAATATGATTTTCATCTGTCAACGGAATTATGCATTTCCTAATTGATATCCGGACTTTTTTCCTGTTGATTCAAAGTTCGTAAAATATCGCGACATATTTTTTTATTTAATTTGTTTCAGTATCAAAAAAAGAAAAGAAAAAGGTTATCTACAATTTATTTTATTCTTATTTCTGTTTTTTTCTTAAGCTCAAATTTGGCATGATATTGAAGACTTGAAATTAGCTTTAACAATAATTCAAGCAAGTAATCTTCCATTACGATCGAATGGTGATTTACCTTATGCATATATAACTGGTAAAATGTTATTTGAAGATCATGGTTTTGATATGTTTGAAACAAAAGTTATTCATTCATCAAATCCAGTTTATAATGAAACATTTGTTTTTCATGAAGTTGAAGCAGTTGATGTACTTCATCTTGAAATATATCTTTGGGATAAAAAACATAATATTCAAAGAAATCATAGTAAATCTATTATAACTACTGACATTACTAATGATAATATAGATGACTCGGATGATTTTATTGGCATGATACAATTACCATTAAGTGAAGCTAATCTTGAAGATGAACCACGTTGGTATGAATTGCGTGATCGTCAAACACGTAAACCATCAACAACGAGTGTAACATTTAAATCATCATCAGCTGAAAGTAATGAAAGTTTTCGTAAAATGCCACCATTATTAAAACCAACTAAACATCACGAACGTACAAAATCATCAGCTGATTTATTCGCATGTGCATTAAATCGTTCAACAACAACAAATAAAGGTGAAATAGCATCTGATTTATTACCAACAAAACGAAAACATTCTTTTATGCAAGCTCCTAATCATTCATCAAATAGAAAAAATTTACAACGTGCAAGTATTGCTGGTCCAATAACATCAACAATTATTACAATGTCAAAAAATGATAATGATAATGATAATGACGATGATGAGGATGACGATGATGATGATGATGGAAATAATCGACAACAACAAAAACGTCAGTCAATAATAGCTATACAATCTGAAAAAATTAAACGTCAAATATCCAAAGGATTATCAAAATTATTTGATGTTCATACAAGACGTTTTAGTGAATCAATATCTAAATCAGTACCACAAAGTCCAATAAAAAAACTACCTACACAAATATCAACAACTGTCGATCAAGAAGATGATAATGGTCTATTACTGGGTATTTCTAATGATAATTCAACAAATATTGTTAATAAATCACCACGTCAAAGTATTATATCAACAACACAACAAGATGAACATCAATCATCATTAATACGTCCTATACCATTACAACAAATGCCTATTGGACAATTAATGTTACCTTATATACCATCATCACGTCATTCATCGATATCTGGTTCAAGAAAATCTTCAGCTGCATCTTATTGTGAAAGTGAGGAAGATATTGATAGATATTTTACATTATCAGAACAACAACAAAGACAAGAACAACTAAATGAAAATAATACTTTTCAAACGCATAGTGCTGGTCCAGGACAAGTAACACCAAGAAATTATGAAAATATGATTAATGATTTTATACATATGGGACAAATACAACTTGGCTTAATTGTTACAAAAGGTCTTTTAGAAATTGATATTATTTGTGCAAGAGGTTTACAAAGAGCTATTGATGATATTAACACGAATAGTACAAATACTGAAGATACTCCACCGGATACTTATGTTAAAACGTAAATATTAATTTTCTTTTTCTTTTTCTTTTCGAACTTTTAATTTATTGTCTAAAATACAATATTCCAATTGATTATTATATACACGTTTAGAATAGATCAAAAATAAGTCAAGTGTAGAATCTGATAGAAAAAATAATTTTCATTCTTCGATACTAATCGAAAATCTTTTGTTTACTTAATTAAAAATTTTAGATATAGATAATGAATACTATAAAATATCTTTATGCGTGTTTAAAAGAAATTATTTATATCCTTAGGCAAAAGTCTTTTCTTCGCTCCTTTCTTTTTTCTTTTTTGTATTACATATTAAAATATCGAGTTTCTTATCGATCGGAAGAATGAAGTGACCACTTGACTTTGTATTAAGTCTGTAAGTAATCATCATTTGATTCATTTCGTGTAGTTGCACGGGTATTATCATACTATCATCCAATATAACACTTAAGTAAGTTGGCATACTCGTCTATGAAGTTCTATTTATGACTTCATCAATATTTTCTAAGCATTTTTATCTACTATGCATTTTCAATTAGTGATGTGCATGTTTCACTTATCCAATTGAGAATATCAAGTCAATATGAAAATAAAAGCGACAAAACAATTGAAAGCACATATGAACCTTTGTAGATGACATTGTCAACTTAATTAGTTATTACACTGAGTGATAGTATGATAATATTCGTGTAGTTACACTAAATGAATCAATCGATAACCACTTATCGATTCTATAAAACATAAAGAGCTCACTTCATTCTTCCGATTGATAAGAAACTCGATACTAAATATGTAGTACTGAAAAAAAAAAACAAAGGACAAGAAGGAAATATCTTTGCTCAGAGATGTCAATCCGAAGTTCAAGCTCATCCAATTTTTTGAATATGATCAATTTCTGTTCTAATTGTTTATTGAATGACTCAAGTTAAGTTTAATATAAATCTATGTATCAGAAATGATAGAAGAAAAAGAACATATTCATATTTATAACATTATCATATAAAATTGAATTATTTAATTTTTTAAAATCAATAAAAACACCTCTTGACATTCTCATATATTCATTATGTTATTTATTTAATAATAGTTATCTTCGTACTGGTACACGTCGTGTACAAAAACGTAAAACACGAACAATAAAAGCTAGTTATAATCCTGATTATCATGCAAAATTAAAATATAATGCTTGTAATGTTATGGGTAATGATATTTTTATTTTATAACTTTTTAAATCTATTTATAATCAAATTTATTCAGGCCGTCGTTTGCAAGTAACTGTTTGGCAACGTGCACGTAAATTCGAAAAAAATCATTGTATTGGTGAAGCATATATTCAACTTGATAATCTAACATTAACTCAATTAACATTAGCTTGGTATAAATTGTTTCGAGAAAAACTAGTCGAAAGTGAGTTTTATGATTCAAGTTAACTGTCAGATTATCGTCTATTTATCCAATGTGATCATATATTAAAATGAGACAAAAAAACCCTGTTTTAATGCGATGTTAGTTTTCATCTCGTTCTTCCTTGTGTTGAGAGAATGAACCTGTTTCAATAAAATTTTCACTTACAAATGTATGTATTTTTTGTTTTATTTACTTATAAAATAAACAAATTCAAATGAACAACAAGTATTAAGCAAGATTAAACATACATCACATGAAAGATTCATATTATCGACTAGATCGAAACAGGAGATTTCTTCTTAATTAAAATGAATAGTTGATGTCATAGATGCCTGATTTAACAAAATATTTGGATCAACATTCATTTCTTTAACTATAGTATCAAGTAAATTACTCATTTGTCGATCTAGGTCATTCGATAATGCAGTTAATGATGAATAATCTGTTCTCTTAATATCATATAATGAACGTGCAAAATCTAATACTGTATCCTAAAAAACAAAGGTTTTCTCAAATAAAAATCTTTGTTTTTATTTAAGATTTTTTTTTTTACTTTAAGAAATGTACACATTGATTTAACAGGACTATCCGGTCCGAGGATACCCCAAGCAAAAACAGGTGCCATATCCTCGATTAATGTTAAAAATGTTGTTAAAAATCCATCTTGATACTAAAAAAGAAAAGAAATGATAAAAAATATTTGTATAGATAATTTTAATATTTTTCTTTTGTTACTCTAGTTGTTGCTCGTCGAACTTTCAGAGCACATGAAACAGCTTTATTTAATGCTTGTTCACGAAATGTTTCAGAAAACCAACGATTTTGTAATATTGTTCGCATTGCTGATGGTGGTGAATCTGATAGAAGATTACATTTTAATTTAAAAAATCTTTTTTTTTAAAGAAAAAAAATTCTTTTTACCCAAAATTTCAAAACCTTCTAATAACATAAAATCAATTCCAACATTATAAACTGTAGGATTTTTAACCTAAGTTTTTAAAAAAGAAAATTAAAAAGTAAAAGAAAAATAATTAATTTACTCCTGCCGTTGCAAGTTCTTCACTAATCATTGGCCAATTACGTTCATCAGCTAGAAGAGCATTCATTTGTTCAAAAGCTCGAATAAAACGCGTTTTATCCTAAAATGACATATTCGTTTTTTTGTTCATTATTCAATATTATAAGTTTTATGTCAAATATCATTTTCTTACAATCTTTATTATTATGTTCAGACGTACGAATAAAAGCAAAGTACTTAAAACAACCTAAAGGTATTTTTGTTCTATATAGTTTACTTTCGACAATGAATCAGTTTTTTTTTTAATGGCTAAAGATATAAATATCATTTCTAATTAAATTTTATATACTATTTAAAAACAATGAAAAATTATTTTTCCAGATGTATTTCTTTAGGAACTTATGAATATTAAAGGAAAAAATTTAATCAAAAAACATAAAAATGTAGAAAAAATTATTTATTTCTGTTAGTGAAAGTTTTTCTAGTTGAATCATTTTTTTGTAAAGACATCCTGGCGAAAAACAAGAATGAAATTCACAATGAATATGACTATAGATAATAGAATTCAAATTCAGTTAAAACTATACTAATGAAGCTTTCGGAAATCCTTTCTTTATCTCTAATGTTATCAAAATTTGGCTACAATTCAACAATAAATCGTAAATTTTATTGCTGAAAATTTCACGGTTACGATCATGCGTAACAACTTTGGAGGTGGCAACTCTTGCAACATTGTTTATAACAAAGTTTAGAAGTTCTGATTTGTCAAAAAAAAAAAGAAAGATTTTTTTTTATTAATGTGCGCAAAATAAAATCTAAAAAAATTTTAGATAACTGTATCATCGTCTTTTTTTTGTGTAAATCTCGTTCCATACTACTGTCGATGGAAAACTTAACAAGTCTATTCAGGTTGGTAACCAGATTTGACTTTATGATGGAACTTGGAAAAGCAATAAATTATTTTTGAGATGAGTACACTCCATTGATATCAGAGGAAGTCCTAAAAAATTCATATGTATGAGTCTTTCTTCTTGATTTATGGTCATTTTCATGAGTGTTATATCGTTCATTATGAAAATATCAGCTTTTTTAGTATCTTCTCTCCTCAAATAGCAATATTGACAATTTCAGTATGCGGGAAGGAGCAAATTTTATTCTAAGAAAGGTTAAACTAAAAAGTAGATTTATATGATGTTTCGAAGAGGAACACAATATTTTATTGAACAACTTATTAAAATGGTCAAAACTCGAGAAAAAAGACTCATTAATATAGGTTCTTTTTTGACTCTCTCTAGTCTCAATAAGGTTTACTTCATCTCCAACCACCATGCATGAGTGGTTACATTATTCGACATGAATTCGCAAGACACTGTATGCCAACTTCAGTACCATCAGCCGTGGAATGATCCTGAACAAGTTAAAAATTACTATTTGTCTCGAATCATTAGTCCAATAGCATGCTCACTACTTTGTTACATATGCCTACTTTTTTTTATTAGTATGTGGTTATTTAGTATGTACAAGAAACTCAAACAATTGAACAAAGTTCAGTTTCTGTTACGATGGATATGATCAAAAGAAAAAGAAACATTTTTTTTTTCATCAAACTTTTTGAGTGATACTAAATATCAGCAGAAGTGACTATGTTAATGTTTAAATAAAAACCAGTCATAACATACTTTCATTGCTTTTTCAAGAAAACATTCACAAATAGCTTTTGCTACTCGTTTTACAAATTCTTTTTTCTCTTCACTGCCAAGTACTTCCTAAAATATAGAAATCAAAATTTTAATTAAACATTTTCTTTGGTTTTTCCAATATGATTAAACTAACATCACAAGCATTTCGTAAACATGATAATTTAGCTAAATAATCTGTATCAGATGAACAACGAAGTAATTTCGTTCGTAATTTTTTATATTGAATTTGATTTTTTTCTGCTAAACGAAGTCCATATACATAATAGGGTGGTAAGGAATAATATGGTGATGATGGATCAAATATCAGATCACTTGTATCAAGCCATTCGGCTTCCTATACAAAAAAAGAAATTGCATTTTTCTTTTTAGTAAAGAAAATGAAATTGTTTCGTTTTTCTCTTACGTCCGGAGCACTTTCAAAACTATCTGTTGAACGTATTGATCGAAGGGAACGTCGATCATTGAATGTATTTAAATCTGTTTGTACACTTAAAGCTGTTTGTAATTCTTGTTGAACACGAACTGACTCAGATCGATTGAATAATATTAGATTATTATCATTGATATTATTTGTTAATGGTAAAGATTCTAATGTTGATTTGATTTGTTGCTCGTTTTCTTGTTCTAATATTAATGCTAATTCATTTGCATTTGAATTAACATCAATTTTATTTAATAAAAATTGTATTTTTTGTTTTAATTCAATTAAACGACTAGAATTTAATGTTTCATCATGTTGAATTAAATCAGGTTGATTTGTTAATACTAATGAATTTGATAAACTATAATTAATTATTGTTAATGCACGTTGCCAATAGTCGATTGATATATTAAGATGTTCAAGACCATATTTATAAAGTTGCTGTGGAGTTGGTAAACTTTCTCTTGTTGGTGTATCTATAGCATTTTCCCATTCTAATACAAAGGATAAGATTTCAAATAAATAAAAAAAAAAAAAAACAATTTTTTTTTAATAAGTAACCATCAACAGAAGCTGATTGTGTTACGGGTGCTGCATTTTGTGATTGATTTTGACGTTGTACTTGTGTTCGACGGTTATATACTTTCCAGAAAATAAAAGCTAAACCTGAAACAAAAATAAAATTAAGTTTTAGATAAATATTCTAAAATTTTTATTATAAATATCATATTGAGAGAATCTATAATTTTCTATGAGTGATATAGATCGCATATTAAAAAAAAAGTTAGACTTCGTCCTCTTTTATACATTGGAAGGGTAGAAAATTGTATATTATCAGACGCCACTTTCTTATACATTATGATACAATGCCATTAAGATCTTTTCTTCAGAGAATATTTATTGATAGAATTTTTAAATAATACTCTTCACTATTTGTTCTTTTGAAGAATTGCAAAACGTTAGTGTGCAGAATCCTATGAAACACATTGCTTTCGAAAACTTATCACAACAAATTTTACGTGAGGTTAGATATTGTCTATACTACTTAAAGAAATAAAAAAATTTGAATGAAGTAATCTATCTATAGAATTTTTTTGCATAACATGTCTAGGCAATTTGTGTCTGCTGATCTGCCACTGTAGGAGGGAATCAAAAGTAAACAACTAGAATCAGAGTGTCATATCCTTGCTAATTATATATTCAAACGGTTTTTTCTTCTGATTTAAAGTTAGTTCATTGAGAGTAAACCTTTCATAGCGACGGTTTGTACATAACTTTTCATTTTCTTGTATTTTCATCAAAACTATAACAAAGTCTTTTTATAGACTAGTTTTCAGAACAAGGTTTGCTCTATAAAATGCTTATTATTATTCATGATTTGGTAGAAAAATTAAATTATCTATAACGTTAGATAGTCAAAACTATCTCAAAATCTCATTCACAGGAGTTATAAATGATAGAAACAAGTTTATTTTGCTCATTGCAAGAGACATTTCTGATTTATATAGGTCTTTGCTTACAACTAATCAACAGTAAGTCAAAAAATGATACCTAGAGTATCAGAAAAGCAGCAAACATATTAATCAACACCTTTTAGCACCAGCATCATTTTTTTTGCTCATCGTCAAAGATTTGATTCTAAGTAAACTAAATTTAATTCAGAAAAATATCTAAATATTTAATTAGAGTATGATATTCTGATTCTCTCCAATGACCTATAAATGAATGACATATGATTAGGAGTGTTGTGCAAAACCTTTTCGTGAATTATTGAAAATTAACAAAAAAACTATTTTTGAAATAATCCAAGTTCCATAGTTCACAAACTTCTACGAACACTTCAAAAAAATTTCGTCTATACCGCGACGAACTATAAACAAAAACCTACCGTGATCGTGATAATACTCAAAAGATATTTTGAATTCTACCCTTGTAACTAATCCATAGGATTCATGCAACTTCAGCGTGTTACACCCGTATTTACTAAAATTCTGTAGAAAATCATAAAGTTTGGTAATTTCCTCAAAGAAAAAAGTTCGTCACTAGCAAGGCACCGACCGATCCGACAATGGTGTCTTTGACAGAAAGTTACACAACAAATATTTTTCTTCATTAGAGAAATAAGTAAGCTTAAATATAAATGATTAACAAACAAATCAAAATCCTAAATTCAAAAATTCACTTTCAGCAAAAAAAAAAAGCTTAAATTTCTCATTGAATAATTTATTCAAACAAAATTATAATACCATCAAAATATTTTAAAAAAATGTTCAATCTTATATTTTCTTACCAATAGCTGCAATTGTTGTTGACGAAATAATTCCCACTCTACGCATATGGCTACTACTACTAATAAACGACATAATGATATCAAAAAAAATCTACATTAAAATAAAGAATATTCAAATAAATTTAGAAGAAAAAAGAAATGTTTAAAAAAATAATAATAATTTATTTAAAATAAAACAAAAAGAAATCGAACATTTTAATTTATTGTTGATTTTAATAATGGTCCATCTTTTTTTTCAAATAATTGTTGTTGAATATGTTTTTGTCGAAATAAATTTATTTGTTTACCAATATAAACTGCTTTTTCTAAATTTGTAACAATATTCTAAAACAAAAAAATAATAATAAAAATTTTTTTTATTCTTATTTATATAAAAAAAATACGAGAATTTACATTCATATTTTTATTACTATTTGCTAAATTTTTTACAGCATCAACATTATATTTAATATCAAATATAAGACCATTCAGTTGTTCTTGTAATTTTTCAAGTTCATGTCTTTTCTGTACCATTATTGGTAAAGCTTTTTGTACATGTTCCTTAATTTTAAATTTATTTTGAAAAAAAATTATTTTCTTCCTTTTTTTTTTACATTTATTTACTTGAAGTCGATAAAATGCCAAGGATGGTTCATTAGCATTATATTGTATTGTTTCATTCAAAAAATGTATTGATGAATCTGATTTTGTTTGAATATCTCGATCCGGACGATTCATTAAAGAATTAAAATGTGATTCAGTTTATTTTAATGAAGATACTATTAGAAAAATATTTTAAATAAACAGAAAAAAAAATATCGCAGATGAATTTTTTTTATCCAATACAATTGACTTTATCTTTTAACGACCTCTATGAATATCTATAAAGAGAAAGACAATTTCTTTGTATAGAAGAACTTTTTTTTATTTCAATTATCATGACACAAAGATCACCATCAGAACAATATTTACTTCATCCTATTGAAAATCATCGAAATATATGTCAATTAACAAAAAATTCTATTACAAATATTACTCATGTACAAAATCATACTGGAACTAATACAGAAGAAATTCAATTTAATCGTGACATTGGTACAAATACACCGAATTATGCTGAACAAATAGCTCAAGCTATTGATTATGGAAATGCTGCTGAAGAAATTGCTCAAATGCTTACACAAGGTATATGAAATTTAAAGTACAATACAAAATATTCTAAAATTTATCATCATATTTTAAATATGTGATAGTTCATTATTGACCAATTTTAATTCAATATTGTTTTTTTTTAATCTGTAAGAGCAGTTCCTTCAAATTATATAAAAGGATTAACATATCTAACTATTACATTATTAGCATTTTTTTAACAGTTTTTGAAAAGATCGATTAGACTGATACATTAGTGGCATAACTAGAAAAAGAGTTCTAGGAAACTCATACACCTGACCATGTTCATAGAGTAAGCAACAAAATCAGTCAATGGAGAAATGGAACAAAAGATTAAAAAAAACATTTATCTGTCATGTATTGTTCTTGTTGATATATATATATCAATTCAAGAAAATATCATTTCTTTTTCTGTAACAAGGCATAGATAAGTGTTTCTCCTTGGATAAATTACATTTCTTCTATTACATCTTCTTAGCCTGAAAAAGTAATCTAATTAATATTTCCTCACATCTTTGAAACTTCTGGAGGGTGTGTTAACCATTTCTGTTGGAAATGACATAATGTTCCTGTTTTAACGGATATAGTTTAGCTTTCTTGTAAAAAGAACGCAAGCTATTTTTCTATTAGAATACAACCGTTGGTAGAGAAAACTAGATTTGTGATACAAAGATTCTAGGCCATTTCATGATTCTCATTGTTATTAGACTTGGCATTGTTGCATTTTTTTGTTTTATGAAAATTTATTATTACTATGAATGCTAATAAAGCAGTAGTGACATATGTTAGTCATTCTAACTCCATAATAACGATATAAATTGAAGGCAATATAGAAAAAGAAATATTACATTTTTGTTTTATGACACTGAATGAATGCAACATTTTAACGTACCATTCATCTCTTGCAAACAACATCAAGCACTATTGGATTAAAATAAATCAATAATGGAATCTAATGCATTTAAAGCGTTATGAAGAAATATCGAGATATTATTCTATAGGCTTTGAAATAGATCAGTCGAAAGAAAGATTTGACATATGATCAATCTGTGTTGAAGAAAATAAAAATAGGAGATTCAATGACTTCAACAATCACTTTCATTTCTTGCATTCATCTGTTCTAATGTATGAGTGACGAGGATGTGAGTGTGGATTTCGATTATTTGTTCATCTATCCATTCACATCAACACCTACATTCTATGTTAACTGACTTGAAAAAGAGATTCAATGAACTGTAGAAAAGCTTTTCTACGATAAGCATTCGTATGATCTTGCAAAATGAAAACAAGAACCTTAATTTGACCTTATTTCTTTTAAGCGTACTAAGCTTTATTTAATATATTAGCTGAAGCAACGGAATCTTATTGGAAATTAATGACTGAACGACGACGACAAGCTACTGAAGAAACAAATATTGAAAATCAACAAGTAAATTTCATAAAAAATATACATAGTTTATAACATATTTCTCATTTCAATTTTTTTTCTTGTTTTAGTTACATACTTTCATTGATGACTTAAGCAAAGAAAACGATAAACTTCGTATAGTAGCTAATCATCGTGATTATTTACAAAGTCTTCTTGAAGTAATTTATATTTCTTTCTAATATATTAGAAAAATTAAATTCTTTTTATTTTTTCTTTCATTAGACATTAACTGCTGACAATGATAGTCTTCTTGATGAAACAAATACTGATGATAGCCCAATAGATTAACATACACAAGAAAACAATCATAAGATACGAACACTTATATCTATGTTTGTTTGTATATATATATATATTTTATTTTTACACCAGCTAGAACTTTCTGAATTGTGTATCAACTAGAGATGTACACGAGATTTTCTTGTTCCGATTGTAGAATCGAATACTTCCGAGTAAAGAAAAAAACTAAAGAAATAGTCAATTGCCATATTTGGAAGAAAAATATTTTGTCTCTAGATTAAGATTGTTTCGAAAACTATAATTATTGGTGATCAAATGAAAGTAGAGAATACAAAGCGTTCGTTTTCTCAGACTACAAAACACGTAGGAACTACATTGAGCGAAAAAGATTTCTCTGAAAAATGTAGTCATTGAATGTTCATCTATTTTCTCTTTCTATAAAATATATCTAAGTTTCTTCAATCGGAATCAGACATTCTCATGGTCATTTCAAGTATCAACTTGCAAATGAGTTATTCTTTGTTAGATAGAAAGAAAAAAACAAAGATCTATTTTTTTCTAATCGTTTCTTTTTGTCTTTCTGTTATTTTCAAATAAAATTTTAGAAAAAAAAAATCTAAATATTCATTTTGTGTTTTATGCAACTTAACTTAGGGGACATATCAATTATTATCAAACGTCAATAACGTAGGCGTTGCTTATGGGTAGATCACATATATAGGAACATCTGTTGCTAAATCCCATTGATTTTTATACGTGTATATATAATCTATGAAATATCATTTATTTATTTGTTGTGTTTTTCTTCAACAAAACATGTTTTATACATTGATCGTTTTCATATTGATTATTGGAAGTATTTCATCAGTACCAACTGATGATTTATCACAAAGTCGAAATGCAGCATTTGAATTTCGAGAAATGATTACAAAAGTAACTGGTCGTTCAGCTATGGATTATCTTGGTTATGGATGTCATTGTGGTCTTGGTGGTAAAGGACAACCAGTCGATGCAGTTGATAAATGTTGTCAAGTTCATGATCAATGTTATGCTGATACTTCCACATATCTTCAATTTTGGAATTTATGTTCACCACATTTAGCTGGTTATTCATGGGATTTTAATAATAATGTTATTACATGTACTGGAAATAAAGATTCATGTGGATATAAAACATGTATATGTGATAAAATTGTTGCTGAATGTTTTGCTCGGAATAAATACAATGATCAATATAAAGGATATAGTCAACGTTCATGTTAATGAAATTAAAAATTTATTTTAATTTTTTTTGTTTCCTGTATTTCATTATGACATCGATCCGTTCTTTATTTTATTTACAAGAGAAAAAAATAATAAACATAACAAAATATATCCACTGGTTCCCGAAGAAATAGATAATTTTTCATTTGAATGTATATGTCGTGCCGAAGTTACACTTTTTTGTCGAAGTTATTTTTCATGATTTAATTAAGTATCAATTATCAAGAAATGATCATTATCATGCTAAAGCATATAGTTAAAGCTGATTTTTCAGCTCAACAATATTTACAGCTACATTTATTGATAAATATTTTGAAAAGTGTACAAAACATTGAGAACAAAACCCTTTTATTTTTCTTATACTTTTTCATTTTCTATTCAAAAGTGTGCGTGTGGGTGTGATGGTGAAGAGAAGGTCCTCACGGTCGCCCACAATCACAGTTGCGCCTACCAGAAATGGCATCAATTCGGTTTGCCACTGGACTACACCGAAATTGGCGTAGTTTGAACTTTTTAAAAACTAGGTCGGCTCGGTTCGGTTTCGAAAAGTCGATCTCAAAATACACATATTCACTTGCCTTCCAGTTATGACTCGATTTAGTTCACAGATTTTAAAGATAGATCGCTTCACTTTGGCTCCAAAAAGCAAGAACCGATCCCATCTCTGGCATCTATTACCACGCCTACATCTACATCCACACCCATATCCCCATCTCCAGTCCCACTCTCACGTCAGACCTTTGAATCCCGTGGTCAAGAAATAAAGGCTGTTTTCTGCCACAGAACTCGGGAAAATGGTAGGAAGCTGGAAGCAGAAAACCGGTGACTAGGTTCGGTGGCCGATTTTGTTCAGTTACAGTCATTTCCGGTCGGAACTAGAAGAATCTGGCCATCGGATCGGATCACCAGATTTCTGCTTCCAAGTTCCTACCATTTTCGCGAGTTTTTAGCCGAATTTCTCTTCGATACCCACGATTTCGTGAACCAGAAACATTGACCTGGGTGGAAAAAGGAAAAGCATTAGCAAAATAAAAGGTTTTTGTTCTTAAGGATTTGTACACTTTTCAAAATATTTATTAACAACTGTAGCTATAGGTACTGTTGAGCTGAAAAACCAACTTTAATTATATGCTTTAACATGATAATGGTCATTTCTTGATAATTGATACTTAATTAAATCATGGAAAATAACTTCGGCACGACATATACATAAATAAACTCAATAATTTTTTTCTGTTTTCATGTCAAAAGATGCATTATAAAATTCTTTACAAAAACTATATTAAACGTTTTATTGCAAAATATGAAGATAGCAAATTGTGCGCGAAATACTGAAAAGCTTTGAAGTCGTGAACTTTCTAAATAAATTTTTAGCCAGCCAAAATTGCTTTTAAACGTTTCGAAAAGTAAACAGGGTATATGACAATCAAGTACCTTCTCTTTCTTATGATGTATCATAGATTTCGTCAAAGTCGAATGTTACTACTGAAAGGACGACTTTCTTGAAATGGACTTAATTAACACGGAAAACGTCACCGTTTCATTCAATTTATTCAACGAAACAAATTTGCTGAACGTCTTCTAATTAGATATAGTACAAGAGTTTCCTACAATGATCCAAAGCTGTGGTTCAAAAGTGTTGATTTGAGGGTACGGACAAAAATGAAAAAGTAAGACTTCAGTATTTTGAAGTACGAGTAAAATACGGTGACCATTGTACTTCAACGTACTAAAGTCGTACTTATTCCTCTTTGGAGAGGGGTGTAGGTAGATAAAAGAACTGATAACTGAAACCTACACTCTTTTCTTTAGTTGTTGATTATTCTTGTTTTTCGGAAACATTTTTTCATAAACGATTACACATGAAACTCGGAAGTGCTATTAGCTTTACATTAATAGAATTGAAAAGATTAAATTTAATCGAAAAGTAGTATTTCAGAAGGCACAAGAGAAAATCCGTAGACATTCGGTAAATGAGCTTAACTTTTTAGGTACATTATGACAAAATCTTTATCAAAAAACGACTTTTCAAGCAAAATTAAAGACTATTAGTCTGGTAAATGGAGCTTATTTGATGTAAATAGTTGGTTTTTTAAAATGATTGTTTCTTAGTTTTGCTAAGGTGATTTTCGAACAGTCGTCAATTATGAATTGTTTTGTTATCCAACTAATTATTTTCTTTTCCCGCTATGAAAATTTTGTAAAATCAATTGTATCATTTTTTTTTTCTATTTTCATTTTGTAAATGGTATCAGAAACAAAAGTTACAAGTGATACAAATTCACATCAACATGAATCAACATTATCATTATTACAACTTGAACTTAGTTCATCTAAAAATTCCGATAATCTTTTAAAATATCGATCAGAAAATAATATGTCATCAAAGAAAAAAATTTATAATAGTTTACTTCAAAATTCTCTGGAATCAATTAATAATAATTATCAAAGATTTTCAAATAATAATTTAATCCATACACATTTTCCAATAGCAAATATGTCACAAGGTAAAATCCTATTGCAATGTTTATATCAGTAGTACTCGTGAAAATCATTATATCTTAATGCATGAAATATTCATTCAGATTGAATGCATTCATAGATTATCAATTTTTGAGTATTTTCTCCTAGAAATTAATTTTATTTTTATTTATTTATCAAGATTCGACGATAATCACTAAAACATCATCATGTCAATTACCAGCAGTACCTAAACAAGCTGGTACATTTATTCATCGTTTTGTTAATAAATTTTTTTTAATGACAAATAAAAATAAAAATAAAAAATGTCCTATGAAACACATTAAACGAAAACATATGAATATGAAATTAAATACAAGAAATTTATCGGACGATAGCCATACTTTTTTAAATATTATATCAAAGAAAAGACGGCAACGACGACGAGGACAACAACATTCAAAAATAACAACAAATAATAATCAACATTGTACTGTGTGTCGAAAATATCGAAATAATTTTTCAATTGTACCAATGAATAAAATGCAAGTTTCAGCGACAGATTACCCTACAGAATCATCTCAGATTGTTAATACTAATGCGACAACAAATCGAAAAACTCGCTCAATATTGACAAGTGAGACATTGCCAACATTATCTAAAATTCGATTTGAAAAAATACGAACATTAAATGAATCACAATGTCAAACAATTGTTTCAGCAGTTGGACTTATTTTTGATACATTGATTTCAAATTATCAACATTTTATGACGGAATAAATTTATTTTCTGTAATTTTTTGTCTCTCGTGTATTGTTTAAAAAATGAAAATAATATTCAAATTTCGATGCCATTGATTTTTATTAGGCTGCATACATTGATCCATTCTTTTTATTTAACAATATTAGAAATCGTTTGTGCCATATGAATCTTCCATGTGTCGAATTTTATTCTAAGTTCTTATAAAAAGAACATCAGTCGTGAGAGAAGACAAAAGTTCTACGTATGAGTCTATTCTTTTTTCGAACAGTGTATTTCAGGTAGCTTGAGATAGTGCCTAACTAGAGTTTTTGTGCTTGATTGTTCGAGTTCCTTATATACATTAATCAGCCATACATTAGCCACAAGAACAAGTGTATGCTACAGAATAGTCAGTATGCAATCGGACGGGTAGTTCGAGACAAATAGCTGTTAATGACTAATCCAAAATAATTTCATGGTTGACAGCACTGAGATTTGAAAATAGTGTCTTGTGGACACTGGAGGATTCAAGATTTTTTTGTATGCTGGATCTCAGCTTCAGAGCATGGGACACCTAAGATGAAACGCATGGAGGGCGATATTGGACCCAAATGATGAGTGTTCATTAAAAAATTTTTGTGATCGAAGTTTGTGAAAAAAACATTTTTCAAACCGTTATCCCGCTATTTTTTTTTGGTTTTTAGTAATATTCTATTTTTTAGAATTTAATCGGAATCTACGTTGAATTTCATCAACAGATTTCAAGTTTCATCTAGATCCCATGCTCTGAAGCTGAGATTCAGCATTAAAAAAAATCCTGGATCCGCCACTGCTTCTGGATATGTTTCAAACAATGCAGTTATTCAATCATGATGTCTCTTCATAAAATGATACAAGACTAAATAAAAGTTTCAATACTAGATTTGATGTAAGATGATGAAAGATTACACTTTTTTTATTTTTGTCAATGTCGTTTTTCACTTGAATGGCTAGATAATTGAAAAGGTACAATTATGTAACATCATATCGTTAAATTTATTCATCTAGATTGCATTTTTTAGTTCTTCTATATGATTTCATATGTAATCAAGCAAATTTTCAATAATTTTCATTTCATATGAAATGTACTAATCTACGCATGCAGCAATTCAAAAGATATTCTTATCAAAATATCATACATCACTTTTTTATCATCATCAATTCATTCATGCAAGCATTCGAAAAATTCTTTTCAATAGATAAGACAAATTGAAATATTTTTCATTCAATCCATAAACCAATAAATGAGCATTTTTATGTATACATTCATTCGACGAACAAACAATAAGCAGACACACAACAATCAAAAAAAAAATATTCGTTCATACGGTAATAGATAAAAGAAAAAAGGCCAGAAGAATTAGAGATTCATTCAATATGTCACAACGGAGATAAAATGGAATTCATGTGTAAATCTGACACGAACAAAACAAAAGAAAAAAAAAAGGAATCATACTCAAAGAATGATACACGCGGCAGATTTCGTTGGTGGAACATTCGGATCATAATGATAATTATAAACAGCTGTTGGATCCATATTTAAAGGATTATCATCAAGTTTTGTTTTCTTGGTTGTTTTTATACTGTTCTGTTTTTCGACAACTACTTCAGGACCTAGAACAAAAGAAAAATACATAAATCAATTCATATTTTTAAATATAAACATTTCACATGCAATAGCTCTACGAAAGATGATAAACTAAAATATGCGAAAGTGCATAATGGCATAGGAATGGATATAGAGCGAATAACGCACGCAGATATATACAAAATGAATAGCAACAACAAAAACAATGTGGGATATGTGAAATATAGTTGAATGTGTAGAAAAAACACAACGAAAACTGTATAGATAAATTTACTCACAATAAACTTAATTTATTCTAAAGTACGTAAATTATAGAATAAAAAAATTCTTTATAAAAAATAAATAAAATTGATATCTTACTTTTAGCTAATCGTTGTTCTTCTTCAATTTGTTGTTTAGCATCCGATATAATTGATTTAATTTGTTCAGGAGTAAAATCTTGTGTTGAAATGCGTGTTGCTGAAAAATCCATTTTTATACGATTTACTTCAAAAAAAAAAGAAAAAAAAATAACAAAATATTCAATAATTAATAAAAGAAAAAGAAAAACTAATCATTCTATTAAATACAATACCATTTGGTGGTGCGATAACAACTGGATAAAAACCACCAATTGGTTGATAAAGTACTCGAACATAACCAACTGTACGATTAACAGTTAAATAACAAATTATTAATGATTCTTTGTTTTTTCCGACAAAACTTTCTTCTTCTGATGGAAATAAAACACCCCAACCTATTTTATCACCTTGTTTTAAATATTTGGCAGCTTAAAACATAGAAAAAAGTTTTCAATTTAAAAAAAGAAAATTTTCTATTACCATCTCCTGTTGGCCAAAAACGTAAATAATCTTGTTTAAATTGAGATACTGGTGGTGGATCAAGTGGTGATGCCGTACATAAAGCAATAGCTATTGAATTCAAAAAAAAGATAAAATTCTAAAAGATTTTACAATAAAACAAACCTGGTGGTGGTTCATTATCACTAAATTTATCCAAAAGTATAATTTCAAAATGATTATATTCTATAATAAAGTAAAAAAAAAGAGAACAATTAATTCATTGATTAAAAAACAAGACGATTCATTTTTCTCTAATATTATGTACATAGAATTTATCATAATACAATTTGTTATTATCTTACTTACAAACATCAAAATATTCGATGTTTGCACAATGTTATTTTCTAGAAATCTATTTCTTTTATACAGTGAATTTGGAAAGGGGGCTGAAGATAGAGATACCTTAGACTCAATCTCGTCTTTCATAATAATTCTAGAAAGTTTTCGATTCTTGGTTGACGAAGGAACTACTTGAACCAATAACCGGTATTCGAGCTCATATTAAGTTCACGAGGAGGTCTCGATAAGGCCAAAAAACTTCTACAAGAGTGTCTATAAATAACGGAATTTCGATCTGAAATTTTGCCCATGAATAGGTCGAATGACTTGTAGAATATTCTGAAGGTTTCACTTGAAAAGAATATTTCTTTGTCAAGATATTGAAGTTCCAAACAATGATTGTTTGTCGCAAAAATCGAGTTCACTTGCAAACTCAATATCTCGGTGAAGAAGTTCTCTTTCCGGCTGAAAATTTCAGGATATTCTATAGATCATGAAATTCATCTATGGGTACAACTTCGTTTGTTGCCTTTTCGGTAAAAATCTAAAGTTAAATAAAAAATTCATCAAAATGGCCATAACTTGGCTTCAGACACCTGTGAGCATGAATTGTTTTAGGATTTCTCTAGTTTTACTTAGGCTTCCTTGTGAACTTAATGTGAGCCCGAACGATGGGTACCTATTCGGCTCGTTTCCTCGTAATTCTGTCGTGATTTCTGATGTGGAAGGTTCAAGTTTCTATTTCTATACTTCGACATGCCTTTTCAATCATATTTCACAAAATTTTTCTTGTATCTCTCTAGATAAAATAAAAAACCTCGTTTGCACCATGGAAAAACTCAAAGTAATTTTCAATGTTGATTAATTCAAAAAGGAATATATATTCAAATTTTTTTAATCAATAAAAAATTTACTTTTATGTAAACTATATGGAGCTTGAAGACATAACGAATGATCAATATGTTGTGGTAAAATAAAAGATTTTTCTTTTAAATCAATTTTTGTTCCTTCTGGTAAACACCAATCTTCAGGATTTCTCTAGAAATTTAAAATAAAATATTTTAATTCTTTCTAGAATAAAAACAAAAGAAATAATCATAATAAAATAAATAACTAACCACACTATAATGTGGTGGAACAGAAACTCTTGTTTGCCAATAAACTAATAATTCAACAGGTTCCCCATCATTTTCAATAAGTATTGTTGGAAAATATTGTGAATGATCACGTAATGTTAAATAACGTGTACCAATAGGTCGAAAATTTTTACTGAACAATGCAACACTCATTTCTTGTTCAAATACTTCAATTTCAACACCAATTGTATCACCTTTTTTACATTGATGTCCACGCATATTACCAGTATCTTTACGATTTGAATATAATTTTCCTGTATATGTATTATATCCCACGGAATCATTAACAAAACCAGGTGCTTCATTTAATCCATGTTTTGATGATGCAATACCAACTGTTACTTGACATAGTTCACCTAAGATAAAATAAAATTATATATAAAAGAATTAAAACTTCCCCAAAAAAAGAAAAAATATTTTACTAATATTTTCTAATTCAACAAAAAAGAAACGTCGTTCATATGTTAATGGTTTTCGAAATTGAACATAATGTATTGCATTTTCAGTTTTTGGTATTGATACACGACATAAATGATCATCAACAGTTAAGAAAACTTGTTCACTTTTTCGAAACAAATGATTTGATAAATCTTAAAAGAAAATTATTGTAACACCAAAAAAAAATTCATAGTTTTATTTTTACCTCGATCAGTTTTATCTTTTTGATGAATATCAATAGCTGGTCCTAACATTTGTTTATAAAGTCCTTGAAGTTTTATTACTTCCTCATTTGTTAAAATATTTTTTTTTTCAATAGAAACTTTTGTTGCTAAAATACAAAAAAAACCAAAACAAAATTAATGTTTGAAAAAATAATCAACTTTAATTTCTATTTTATTACCATATGGTTGAAGTAAAACAATAGGAACAAAACCACCTTCAGGTTGTAAAACAAAAAGAACATCAACAATGAATTTATTAAACATAACATAAACAAGACATAATTGCTCAGCTTTATCATCTTCACAATTATCATCATAAAAAACACCCCAACCAATTGTATTTCCAACTTTCACTACAAAATTAATTATTTTATTTATTTTTAGTTTTCTACTAAGAAATTGAATTTACTTTTCATTTTAGCAAACCATGTATAATAATCTTTCATTAATGTACATGTTGGTGTTGGTTTTAAAGGCTACAATACAAAATGAAGAAATTAAAAAAGGATAATTCTGTTTGCTTTTCTATTGTTGGTAGTTCTAATGTTAATGGATTACGTAAAATATTCTTACTGAACAAGTAGCTAATCCAACACTGGCACCTTTACCATCTGTTGGTGATACTTCTTGTTGTGTAACAACAAAATGACGAAAATTTTTGCCTAATGGTATAGGTGATTGTACTGGTAAATCTTCTAATTTTGAACGATTTTCAAATAATCCTGTATGTGCATCATAAGTACCCATTGGTGCTCGAATCCATTGAGAAATCGGAATCTATAGATCAAAAGAAAAAAGCCTTTTAATTAAATAAATAATTCAAAGAAGAACAAAGAAAACGACTACATACCTCAGTAATAGATGGTAATTGTTCAACAGCTTCAGGCCAAAGAACTGAAACGTCAACACGACCACCAGAAAATGTTAATGTTGGAAAAAAACGTTCTTTATTTGATTCAAAATGATATCTAATTAAAGAAAAAGAAAAAGAATTGAATACAATTAGTGAAAATAAATAATATACTAATCGCTTCTTGAAGAATCATCTTTATTTTTGAAAATAGACTTCCGAAAAAAAAGCTGTTTTCATCATAACCAATTTCTAATTTCTCAAGATCCTAAATTTGTCGTTGCTCTATTATCCATAGTTCGGATGTTACTGTAATCAATCATATTCTTATTTTATATGAACAAATTAACTGATGTCTTCATTGTACACATGTCTAATAACTATGAGATCAAACAAATCCTTTTCTTTTTTCGCTAGTAAACCAATGTTTATAAACGTTTGCCATCATTTACATATGTCAATAAAAAAATACAAAACACTATATTATCAAATGAAACTAACTGCATAACATTACGAATAAAAAAGAAAAAATATTTTTATTTTCTGCTATTCTACTCATTTAAATTCTTGTCTATATCCGACAAGAAATAGTCAAAATCGGAGTCAATAAATTTATTATTCATATAATTCAATAGGATTATTAGAGATATTCAATAGATTTAAATGAATTGGTTCTCATAGAATGTAATCAAGTTTTCCGCAAAAAAAGACAACTTCAATTGAAATCCTTCGTTGAACATTATCCGTTAAATTTAGACTATCTCTCTCGTAAAAAGAATACAGTTATCATATAAAAAGAAAGGCTTTAATTGTATCAATCTAATCTGATTAACTTTTGATTTCTTCTAGTATTCCAAAAAAAAAACTGAGAGAAAGAGAATCAGATCAATCATTTTGTTTTTAAATACCTAGTTGCAACTGGAAAATTATCATAATAAAGAAGTGCTGTTGAAAGATATTGACCAAAATAAGTTACATAAATTGCAATTGTATTACCTAAACATAAAACTTATTTTAATAAGAAAAATAGTTTAATCAATTTACCTTTGCCATATTGAAGTCCAAGTGTATTTGCATGTACTTTCCATGATGTATACACTCGTCCTGTATTATTATGATAACCAAGAGAATTATTATATTGACCTAAAATAATATTTCTTATTCAAAATTAAATAAACATATATATATATTAACCTGCATGTGAAGTAATATCTGATGGTGCAATTCCAACTGCTAATATTGCATTTGGATCTAAAAGAAGTTAGTTTTTTTTTTTTTTTTTTTCATTTTAATTTGTTTGAAAACCACAATAAACAAAAGAATTATATATACATATGGTTCTTACCACATTTATGAACTTCAACAAGAAAATAAGGTGATTCTGGTGTAAGTAGTTGAAGTGATTGTATAATTGAAATTGTTTCAAAATTAGTTGTTTTTTTATTTCCATATGATATATCAACTTTTTTTCCTTTAATTATTCCATTAGCTGTTGTTTTACTTTTAATTGTTATATCACCAACAACACGATAACGTGTATCAATTGTTGTCATAGTGCTTATAACGTTTTGTAAACAAGCCAAAAAATGAAATTATCTATATATTAAACAATGAATTGAAATATATAATGAAACTAATTGTAATAAATCATAGCATATTTGTTTCATAGTCCTACTAAATATCGATAATGCTTTTGTCAATAATAGACGTGCAAAATCTCTTTGATGAAACGAATTGGTTAGTTAAGAAATTCCGAGTAAAAAAAAAAAAAAAGAAAGAAAGAAAACTACGAATAGGACAGAAGAAGAAAAAGAATTCTTATTAATAAATTGATCTTCAACATCTTTAGCTCTTAACTATAAATTGAATAAACATTTCATTTTCAAGTACATCGTACACGAGAACATTAAAGCAAAAACGTGCTTTTATCATTATTGAATAAACAAAATGAAAAACAAGAAAATGCTCACGCTCTACTCATTTGATAGAAGAAGAAGAAAGAACTAAAGAAAGATATTGTAGAAATGAAAATTTGAGTGTTCCGAAGGTGAAAAAAAAACAATACGAGCTATAATTGCTGTCCGAAGGGCGAACGCTGTATACGCTTTTTTTTTTCTTTTTCATTTTTTTTCAAACAGAATAATAAAACAAGAAACATGACAACTATGATTCATTGTATTCATATACATTGGTTAATTTTTATGCACAGATGAATAGATCAATGAGAGATGTCGTTCATAATTGAATTTGTCGAAGGATTTTTCTTATACAAAACAAGATTATAAGGTTTTTAAAATGATGAGAGTTTCTATAGCATCCGATTTTGAATATATTTTTATAAACTTGATATCTTATTTGTTGTTATCGTGATAGAATAATAATATTTAGCAAAAGAATTATTTGTTAGTTGAAATATCTGGAGAAATAAAAGTTTAGACAAGGAATTGATGAATAGTTTTCAAAGCACGCTATCTACAAAATAGTTCATTATTGATTAAGATTCTAGGAGAAATATGAAAACAAAAAATAGTGATCCTAAAAATTTCTCAACAACTAATTTACAAAGTATATTATTAATATAATTTTTCTTCGAAATTCGACATCGGAGAATTTTTCAAAATTAGTTCAATTCGATATTGCTTTGTCTTATAAATTTGCAAAAAAAAAATATATCAAACTTTGTGATCCTATATTGTTGACTTCTAAATCAGGAAAATCTTTTTTTTTGTTAGAAAGAGCAATGTTTGCATTATAAATTTTGCGCCAGACATATTTTTTCAGAACAAACCTGACGAGAAAGAAAAATTCGTTACCAAACACTTTCAAAAAAATCTTCTTGTAATTCCACTATCGATCAATTGCATTCTGAATTTTTGTATTAATTTTTTTATCCGAAGGGAAATGAAAAAACACGTTTAATGCTAATTTTTGTGGCGTAAAAAGTAGTAAACTTACTCTTTGTTCTTATACCAAAATATAGTTTTTTCTAAAAATGACTGAGTAAGTTTGTTGTTATTACTATCTTGCCGTTTTGCAATAGTAAAAAAATATTATTTCAATTATTTTCTTTATGATATTTCTAGGTTCTGAAATATTTCAAATAAATAATGCAAGAAGAATTCTATTTATTGATAATTTTTGAAAATGATGGTTNCTCGTTCTATATGTTATTTGTGGAAAAAAGAACTTTGATGCATCTCAAAATGATTTTATTTGAAAAGTGTTTATTTAGAATTCTGAAATACTTAATGTGTGAAGTGTCACGTCACGTGGACAAGCCGTATTAAAAAATCGTTGCTCATGCCCTTTGCTTACTGCCCACTGTGCTAACTTGGGTCAGGATCAATCCATGGATGCTCCAACCCAATCAATTCGACATGTCTGATTTAAAATTATCAAAATCTTATAGATTTTTATTTTTCATATTTCTAAATAAACACTTTTCAAATAAAATCATTTTGAGATGCATCAAAGTTCTTTTTTCCACAAATAACATATAGAACGAGTTGTTTCTTTTTTATTTTATTTTACACATCTTTATTTCACATTAATCCACCTACTTCTAATCAGTTTTATTTACAGATTTAAAGAATAAATTTTCGTATCAGGAAAATAGTCTTTCAACTGCTTTGAAATCGATATATTACGAGGTACCTGTACACGAAGTAATTTGGCACAATTGGTTCGTGTTGCATCTCTTGTAAAATTGTTTGTTACTCTATCCAAAGTTGAAAAGTAGACTTGAAGGTTGAGCTTTGTTGTTAAACACGTTTTGATATCCAATAGAAATTGCTCCGCATAATCATCATGAGCATGAAACAAATCAACTACACTAAGATAAGGATATTGAATAACTGATAAATGTCGATTATCATCTTTTGATTGTTCATCAAATTTGTTCTTCTGTGGTTTATCATTGTATACAGTTAATTGTTCCATGAATGGGAAAGATTTAGCAATTTTCACAAAGAATTCATGTTCAAAAGGACGTTCATCATATAATGAGACTTCACGAACATATTTAAATAATCCATCTGGAAAATTATTTGTAATATATTCATAATATTTTGCTTGATATGGATATGAATAAATATGACATTGACCTTGTTTACGATCTGGGAAATAATCAATACATGAAATAATTTTATTATTTTTAAAACCATTGAATGAAAGTTGACAATCTTCATTTGATGATAAATAAAGTTGATCGTTTATAGGCAGACGTGATCGTATGTTAAATATAAATTTATTTAATCGTAATAAATTCTTAATAATATTGTATTTCAAATCATAACCATCAATAAATCTTTTCTCACAATACACAACAAGATGTAAATCGAGTTCTTCTAGATTGATCATTCGATGTAGAAGTGGCACAATCAATTCATTATACTTATCTGTATCTCGTTCAGAATAGAGCGAAAAAAGTTTTAGATTGGGTAATTGTTTCTAAAAAAAAATAAAACAATTTATTTGAATATATTAGATATTAAATTGTACAATTTACTTTGTTATCAATTATTATCTGTGGAGATAATATTTCATAAATATCAACAGAAAGTTTTTGAAGTGAATCGAAACGACCATCAAGTAAATAAAGACAATCAGTAAAATTCTTTAATTTGACATGCAATTCTAACAGAGTTGAAGAGGAAATAGTTGAAGGAATTTGAAATAATGGTTGATACCAAAAAGTTGGCCTGTAATGTAAATATTTTAACTTGGAGAATAAGGTTAAAATGCAGGCAAATATATTTGCTTTGCTGTTGTCTGTTACACTTATATTTTTATCTTGAACAACATCAATAACAAATGATGAAATTTTATCTTGAAATATGTGGGTTAAAGGAGTTTCGTCTAAATATAAATATAAAATCAATGATGAAATATTTTAAATATATAAATCAAATTATCACATCTGTTTTAGTCTTTTTCTGTCGTTCTAAAGTAAATATTAGTTTTCTCTATCTGAACACATTGATTTCCAATGAGATTTTTGTTTTTTACTATTTATATAGCAAAAAAATATCCTATGACACAATCGTATGAAGAATCTTTTTTACAAATAAATAATCCTATTGATTTATCTATATTTTTGAAATATTAATGATTGAAAGAAAAACCTCTCACCAGTAAAGATACGTAATGCAATGTCCTTCTCGATATTATGCAAACCAAGTGCACATAAATTGGGATAACTTGTACAAAGAAGAACATCTTCCATAAACGAGGATTCAATATCCAACCATTTGATTTTATGATGAATCGAAGGTAAAATTTGTGAACAAAATCGATCAAGTATTTGGTTATCTAATCGATCAAATGAACCATTAGAAGAACATCTTGTCATTGTTAAATGATTCGTAAAAATTGAATCATGTACAAGTTTATTAAATCGTTTATTAACACCTATGAATAAGTAGAGCACTTCAATATTGTCCAATTTTTTGAAAATAAGAAAAAGAATCTCATCAGGTAAATCATTTAACTTCGCCGGCAAACCTTCCATGTTTAACTTCATCTGCGTATTTTTTTTTCGTTTATATAGACTTAGTCAATTTGACCGATTTCGTCAATGAAAACAATAACAAATTTTTTCTATAATCGAAATTGACGATAAATAGACGGAAAAGAATGGTATCGTCTTTCTCTCTCTCTCTCTCTCTCTCTCTCTGTCTCTCTGGTTCTTGTTATTTCATATGGTTAGGTCTCGTTTCGTCGAAAGCTTAATTGACTTTCTTGTTTCGTCGAAAATTAATTTTTCTTTCATTCTCGTTTCGTCGAAAATGAAAAAAATGACTGTTCTCGTTTCGTCGAAAAAATGGATCCTAATTAACTGATGGAAAATAGATTAGAGTAGGGTGGGGTAAAAAGGCACAGGATTTTGAAATTTTGACTTTCGAAGCTTATATCTCTTTTAGTTTTGAAGATACAAAAAAACTTGCGGTACAAACGTTGTATAAAAAACATTTTTCTATCGATCTGTGTTTTTCGTTTTCAAAAATCTCATCGGGTTACGTTTCCACGCTAGTTTTCGTGCGACCTACTCGTCACGGTGCCGTATTACCCCATTNTTAAAGAATAAATTTTCGTATCAGGAAAATAGTCTTTCAACTGCTTTGAAATCGATATATTACGAGGTACATGTATACGAAGTAATTTGGCACAATTGGTTCGTGTTGCATCTCTTGTAAAATTGTTTGTTACTCTATCCAAAGTTGAAAAGTAGATTTGAAGGTTGAGCTTTGTTGTTAAACACGTTTTGATAGCCAATAGAAATTGTTCCACATAATCATCATGAGCATGAAACAAATCAACTACACTAAGATAAGGATATTGAATAACTGATAAATGTCGATTATCATCTTTTGATTGTTCATCAAATTTGTTCTTCTGTGGTTGATCATTGTATACAGTTAATTGTTTCATAAATGGGAAAGATTTAGCAATTTTCACAAAGAATTCATGTTCAAAAGGACGTTCATCATATAATGAGACTTCACGAACATATTTAAATAATCCATCTGGAAAATTATTTGTAATATATTCATAATATTTTGCTTGATATGGATATGAATAAATATGACATTGACCTTCTTTACGATTTGGGAAATAATCAACACATGAAATAATTTTATTTTTAAAACCATTGAATGAAAGTTGACAATCTTCATTTGATGATAAATAAACTTGATCGTTTATAGGCAGACGTGATCGTATGTTAAATATAAATATATTTAATCGTAATAAATTATTAATAATATTGTATTTCAAATCATAACCATCAATAAATCTTTTCTCACAATACACAACAAGATGTAAATCGAGTTCTTCTAGATTGATCATTCGATGTAGAAGTGGCACAATCAATTCATTATACTTATCTGTATCCCGTTCAGAATAGAGCGAAAAAAGTTTTAGATTGAATAATTGTTTCTAAAAAAAATAAAACAATTTATTTGAATATATTATATATTAAATTGTACAATTTACTTTGTTATCAATTATTATCTGTGGAGATAATATTTCATAAATGTCAACAGAAAGTTTTTGAAGTGAATCGAAACGACCATCAAGTAAATAAAGACAATCAGTAAAATTCTTCAATTTGACATGCAATTCTAACAGAGTTGAAGAGGAAATAGTTGAAGGAATTTGAAATAATGGTTGATACCAAAAAGTTGGCCTATAATGGAAATATTTTAACTTGGAGAATAAGGTTAAAATGCAGGCAAATATATTTGCTTTGCTATTGTCTGTTGAACTTATATTTTTATCTTGAACAACATCAATAACAAATGATGAAATTTTATCTTGAAATATGTGGGTTAAAGGAGTTTCGTCTAAATATAAATATAAAATCAATGATGAAATATTTTANTATCCATTTACCAATTTCGATGCTTTTCCATATCACAAAAGCAAAAGAAAAATCATTTGAACAAAGTTTTTTCTATCAATACTTTTTAATAAGCTGAATTTCTTTCTCATTTGATGATGAATTTTTTGACCAAGAAAATTTAAAATTAAATCTTCATCAAATAAAGGTAAACTTTTATCTTGAAAAATTTAATAATTTCATTTAATTTTTCATCTTTTTTATCATTTTTTAAAGATGATTGTTATTGTTTTAATTGATTTTCAAGTTGTTGAAGACGAGCAATATGTAATGGAATATGATTATTTAAATCTTGTTGTTTAGAGATTAATTCTTCATATAATTTACTTTGATCGTCAATTAATCTATATTGAAAAATAAAAACAAAAATCATGAAAAATTGTTTATTTACTTTTGAATCCCAGAGATTTTTAAATCTCGTAATGCTTCTTGATATTGTTGATCTTTCTGTGATGATGAACTATTTGGTGTTCCTTCTTCAGTTGTTATTGTCGGTGGAGTCACTTGTTTTTTATTACCACTATTAACACTGTTTGATGAAGATTTCTTCGAAGAACTTGATGAAGGTGATGAATTCGGTTCAGTAAAATATTAATAAACCGTATTCATTTCCTACAAAAATTATTTATTTATTTATTTATTTATGTAGAAAAAAGAGAAAATTTGATTCAATTTTTTCATTTTTGGAGAATGTCATTGTACCTCGAAGAAATGTACCTGCCGTTGAATTAATTACTTTCGGAAGTCTAAAAACGAAATTCATTAGAAATAATCTTTCAATAAGAAAAAATCCAACAAACTTGTCTTCTGGTACAGTTGTCATATAAATAGGTATTTGACGTCCCCATTATAATTTAATAGAAGATGCTTGAATTTTTTTCTTTTGTGTATGTAAATTATCTAATCAATGGTAAAAATCTGGTGCTGGTAATCCATTTACTTTATGTTCCATATGTAAAGCTAAACCAATTCCACCATTATACTTTAATAAACGTTCTAATAAATCTTGTTTATCATATCGAATATTCATTCGAATGACAAAATCATCTTTTTCTAATTTTAATGAATACTAAAAACAAAGAAAAAAAACTAAATTAAATTTCATAGTTTGTTTGCTTACATTTTTCATAACATCTCCTGAACCTAAATATTGTTTATTCGCATCAAAGGACATCCATAATACAGCTTCATATTCATTATCATAGAGTAATTTATGTAAATGTGGACATTTTACTTGAATTTCTGAAGCTTTTAACTAAAAAAAAAATTGTTTCTTTAAATAGAAGGTGATATAAGTATTGAATAAAATTCAATTGAATAATTTGTATCAATAATAGATAAACTTGACTACCATCTTGCTAAACACAATTTTAATGTTCTTTTATCTTGAACATTAAAATAACATTGAAATGTTGAATGAGATGATAAACGAATTATTTTTTCAAATCCTGTTAAACGAAATGAACGACCTGGTTCAAGTTGAACAAAATGTAAATTTCTTTGAGCAGATATATCACTAGAATCATTTGTCATTTTCAAAACTATACAAGAAAACAATTCAATATTCAATACAAGAAATAAATATAAATAAACAAACCAACAATATTTGAACCAGTTGGAACTTGAAGAAAATGACGACGAATTTGAGCAGCTTTAAATGTTAGAGAATTAAATTTGAGAGAAGGAGTTTGAGCATTTACACTTCAACAAATAAAAGAAGAATAATAGAATTGATTTTCTAATGTCGAAAATTATTACTTAATTGGTTTTATAATTGCTATTGGAAAACGAGCTAATGGTCCAGCATTTGTGACAGAACATGACTTCAGCTTCTAAAATATTCAAATTTATTCCCAATTGGTTACTTTCATTAGTTGTCTACATTTCGATAATTTATTTGAATCTATTTCAAAAATTAAATGTTTGAGAATTGAGGAACAACATTGCAAAAAAACGACTGTACTCCTCTGAACATCGGTTCTATCCCCATTCCGTGTTAATCAACTTAAATGCATAATAAAATAATCAAATAGATATTTTAGATTTTTTTCGCTTCTACCCCAACGTATTATAATGGATTTGATGAAAAGTAATATGTCACTCTTCCTTTTTTGTTCAATGTTTTCTTTTACAGCATTTTCTACCAAACCCGATCTAAGTGGTGCCGAAACATGACGAATACATTTAATCTATTGAGAAGAACATTGAAATGAGTATATTCATAATAATCAAAATCTTGTAGCTTTTTATTTTTCGTATTTCTAAATCGATACTTTTTCAAATCAAATCATTTTGAGATGCATCAAAATTCTTTTTCTCACAAATAACATATAGAACAAGTTGTTTCTTCTTTATTTTATTTTACGCATCTTTAATTCACGTTAATTCATCTACTTCTAATCAGTTTTATTTAAAGAATTGAAGAATAAATCTTCGTATCAGAAAAATAGTCTTTCAGCTGCTTTGAAATCGATATATTACGAGGCACATGTACATTAAGTAATTTGGCACAATTGATTCGTGTTGCATCTCTTGTAAAATTGTGTGTTACTCGATTCAAAATTGAAAAGTAGACTGGAAGGTTGAGCTTGGTTGTTAAACACGTTTTTATATCCAATAAAAATTACTCCACATAATCATCATGAGCGTGAAATAAATCAACTACACTAAGATAAGGATATTGAATAACTGATAAATGTCGATTATCATCTTTTGATTGTTCATCAAGTTTGTTCTTCTATGGTTTATCAGTTTACAGTTAATTATTCCATGAATGAAAAAGATTTAGCAATTTTCACAAAGAATTCATGTTCAAAAGGACGTTGGTCATATAATGAGACTTCACGAATATATTTAAATAATCCATCTGGGAAATTGTTTGTAATATATTCATAATATTTTGCTTGATATGGATATGAATAAATATGACATTGACCTTCTTTGTGATCTTGGAAATAATCAACACATGAAATAATTTTATTATTTTTAAAACTATTCAATGAAAGTTGACAATCTTCATTTGATGATAAATAAACTTGATCGTTTAGAGGTAGACATGATCGTATGTTAAATACAAATTTATTTAATCGTAATAAATTATTAATAATATTGTATTTCAAATAATAACCATCAATAAATCTTTTCTCACAATACACAACAAGATGTAAATCGAGTTCTTCTAGATTGATCATTCGATGTAAAAGTGGCACAATCAATTCATTATACTTATCTGTATCCTGTTCAGAATAGAGTGAAAAAAGTTTTAGGTTGGGTAATTGTTTCTAAAAAGAAATAAATCAATTTATTTGAATATATTAGATATTAAATTGTACAATTTACTTTGTTATCAATAATTATCTGTGGAGATAATATTTGATAAATATTAAGAGAAAGTTTTTGAAGTGAATCGAAACGACCATCAAGTAAATAAAGACAATCAGTAAAATTCTCCAATTTGACATGCAATTCTAACAGAATTGAAGAGGAAATAGTTGGAGAAATTTGAAATAATGATTGATACCAAAAAGTTGGCCTGTAATTGAAATACTTTAACTTGGAGAATAAGATTAAACTGCAGACAAATATTTTTGCTTTGCTATTGTCTTTTATCTTTATATTTTTATATTGAACAACATCAATAACAAACGATGAAATTTTATTCTGAAATATGCGAGTTAAAGGAGTTTCGTCTAAATATAAATACAAAATTAATGATAAAATATTTTAAATATATGGATCAAATTGTCGCATCTATTTTAGTCTTTCTCTTTCTTTCTAAAGTCAATATTAGTTTTCTCTATCTGAACACATTGATTTTCAATGACATTTTTGTTTTTACTGTTGACATAGAAAAAATGTCCTATGACACAATTGTATGAAGAATCTTTTTACAAATAAATAAACCTATTTATTTATCTATATTTTTGAAATATTAATGATTGAAAGAAAAAAAAATCAAAGAAAAATCTCTCACCAGTAAAGATACGTAAAGCCGTGTCCTTCTCAATATTATGTAAACCAAGTCCACATAAATTCGGATAACTTCTACAAAGAAGAACATCTTCCATAGACGAGGATTCAACATCCAACCATTATGATTTTATGATGAATCGAAGGTAAAATTTTTAAATAAAATCGATCAAGTATTTGGTTATCTAATCGATCAAATGAATCATTAGAACAACATCTTGTCATTGTTAAACGATTTGTAAAAATTGAATCATGTACAAGTTTATTAAATCGTTTATTAACACCTATGAACGAGTAGAGTACTTCGATATTGTCTATTTTTTTTAAAGATAATCAGAAGAATCTCATCAAGTAAATCATTTAACTCTACCGACAAACCTTCCATGTTTAACTTCACCTTTTGATTTTTCTTCGTTTTCNAATTTATTACCAAAAGAATCACCACATTTTTCCACATAGGATGGGCAATAAATTGACTGAAAATATTATATGGGCCAAATCGGCTTCTTATGCGCCCCTGTCCTTTGTTCGATATAGATAAAAGAATGTCTCAATCCTATGATATTGAATGAATATAAATAATCATCTGCGAAAGACAACAAAAGTTCCTGAAACAAAAGATTATTTTATTCTCTAAACATATATTTACAAGTGACCTTGATGTCCCTGTAGATATGGATGTGGGTATCAGGGTACGCCCATAAATACACTGGCACATGCAGACCGGTATCTGCACTCTTATGCATGTATTATCTCTTCGAAACTATCTCTTCATCTGATGCTTTATAAAAAAAAAAGAGGTCAATATGACAGTTAGCAACACAAGTTAATGCCGTGATCTGTCGCAGTACTTGAAACTTTTCAACGATTTTTTTATGTAAATTTTATTAGTTCTGTCAGATTTTAAAATGAAAAAGATATAAGATTATGATAATGATTATGATCATAAGAAAATGGATAAAATCATTCTTGACAGCTGATTCCAGTTGTCGAAATTTTTTGAAAAAATTACCGATTAATTTTTAGTTTCCAACGGTGATAATGGTTCCGCCAATCACCTTACATCTCCAATAAGAAGAATATACTTTTCTTGTTAACATGCGACAGAATGAATGGTGTGCCATGGAGACACCATTTAAACAATATTCTGAAATAAAAAACTGTGAATTTTTTCAATAGAACCTTTACAAAAAAGAACTTTATAAAATCATTGATTCATTTCTTCAAAGTTTATTGGCTATTCTTATGTGAAAATTTTAGAAAAATTCTTTTCTTTTCTTTCAAAACAACAGTAACAGGTTTTCTCTTCTCACATTTGTGCAACAGCTTATCACTGATGATGAGAGATGATGAAAATCGAATATTTTAGACTATATATATATATACTAGTCTATCGATACATATTCATGTCTTTTATGTTCTTTGTCTGTAACTCCTGCTTTTTTTCATAATGAACAATTTCTGTATCTTTTTTCCTTTATTTCTCTGTTGCAATCAATCGGTCATCCTCAGAAGTACAAATGTCAAACAACATGAAAATACTGAAAAATTATTGATTCTATTAAGAAACTCATTTGCGGTTTGCTTCCTTCTTCTGAACCTAACATGATACCAACAGTCAATTATTCTCAAGAAACAGTTATTGATGATCAGCAGATTATGATAACAGCGAAATTCATGTTGTTGTTTTTTATTCTAAAAGTTAATAACAACAATATACTATATTTAAGAGTTTTCTTTTATACAATCATCCCGCTCCTAAAACATGTCGATGTATAGTTAGCCACTGCTCTCGAAAGAATTTTTTTCTAATATTTTATTTAAGTAGGAAACGTTGAATATAATAGATGCATTGAAACAATTCCGTCAGTACTTTAAAGGAACAAAAAAAAAACATTTATTTCCTTGCAAATCTATATCGAAGAAAAATCGAAATGGATATCAGGGTGTGGGTCTTCTCTCTAAATACACCCAAACCCACACCCACACCCCGATTTTAGTTTTGTTGAAAAATAAAATGTTGAAGATTTATTTTTATAAAAAGTTCACATTTAATTTTAGAAAAATAACTCTGAAAAAAGTTAGAACTGACGAAAAAACTTTTGATATATTTGCTTACCTTGCACCTGATCAACCGGCAAAGCAAAACATTTTTTTATCTATATACATGTATTAAATCCACTGGATTATTTAAACTTAGTGGATGGGAGTTTTAGTTTCATATGTGACACTGATTCATATCCAACCTTAGAATCGTTCATTTGTGACTGATATGAAAACAGCACAAGAGATTTAATTAATTGAGAAGAGCATGAAAACGGTTATCTAAATAATAATGAAAATCTTCGAAGTTTCTTTCGTATTTGTAAATGGAGATTTTTTTCAGATGAAATCAATTTGAGATGCATCAACATTCTTTTTCTCTGAAATGAGATGTAAAACAAGTGATTTTTCGTTTATTTTATTTTCCATGTTTAATTTTCTATTTATCCATCTACTTCTAATCAGTTTTATTTCCATAATTAATTATAAGAACAAATTTGCGTGTAAGAAAAATAGTCTTTGAGCTTTTGTTGACGTGCAATTTGAGAAGGCGCAGAAAAATAAATACATTCCTTACAATTGATTCGAGTTGCATCTCTTGTAAAATTGTGTCACTCTTTGAACAGATTGATTTCGTAAAGACATTTTTATATTCTATAGAAATTGCTCGACATAATCATCATGAGAATCATCTAGGTTAAGATGAGTAAGATAAGGATACTCAATGATTGATAAATGTCGATTATCATCTTTTGATTGTTCATCAAATTTGTTCTTCTGTGCTGTTCTATTGTATAGAGTTAATTTTTGCATAAATGGAAAAGATTTGGCAATTTTCATAAAGAATTCATGTTCAAAAGGACGTTCGTCATATAATGAAACTTCACGAACAGATTTAAATGATCCACTTGGAAAATTATTTGTAATAGATGCATAGTATGTTGCTTGGTATGGATATGAATAAACATGACATTGACCTTTCTTTACGATCTGGGAAATAATTAACACATGAAATAATTTTATTATTTTTAAAACTATTGAATGAAAGTTGACAATCTTCATTGGATGATAAATAAACTTGATCGTTTAGAGGCAGACGTGATCGTATGTGAAATACAAATTTATTTAATCGTAATAAATTATTAGTAATATTGTATTTCAAATCATGACCATCAATAAATCTTTTCTCACAATACACAAAAAGATGTAAATCGAGTTCTTCTAGATTGATCATTCGATGTAGAAGTGGCACAATCAATTCATTATACTTATCTGTATTTTGTTCAGAATAGAGCGAAAACAGTTTTAGGTTGGATAATTGTTTCTAAAATAAAACAATTTATTCGAATATATTAGATATTCATCTGTGCAAATTACTTTATTATCGATAATTATCTCTAGAGAAAAAAATCCAATCAATTTTAACAGAAAGTCTTTGAAGTTGATCGAAACGACCATCAAGTAATTAAAGACAATCCATAAAACGTTTCAAACGCACATACAGTTCCAACAAATTTGAAGAGATGATTGTTGGAGAAACTTTGAACCATAATTGTTGATACCAATATGAAGATTGACCAAAATGGAGATATCGTAACTTGAAAAATACAGATAAAATGCATGCAAATATATCTTCATTGTCATCTTCTCTTAAACTTGCCTTTTCATTGTGATAAAAATCAATAACAAGCGATGAAATTTTATTCTGAAATATGTCAATTAAAGGAGTCTCGTCTAAACATAAACAAAACATTAATAAAAAGACAATTTAAATATTGATCAATTTGTCAAATCTTAGTCTTTCTCTTTCTTTCGAAAGTCAATATTACTTGTCTCTTGATGAATACATTCATTTCCAACAACATTTTCGTTTTTACTGTTCATATAGAAAAAAAATGTCCTATAACCAAGGAGAAAAAGCGAGACTCCAATATTCTCGTACTTCCATTGTACTCCGGAGTACAGGAGTCTCGCTTTTTCTCCCCTTGCCTATAACACAATTCTATGAAGAATCGTTTTACAAATAAATAATCTTATTTATTTATCTATATTTTTCAAATATTAATCATTGAAAATATATTCAAAGAATAATCTCTCACCAGTAAAGATACGTAATGCAGTTTCCATGTCGATAGAATATAAACCAAGGCCATATAAATTAGGATAATTTGTACAAAGAAGAATACGTTTCATTGATGATGGTTTAACATCCAATCATTTGATTTGATGATCAATCGAAGGCAAAATTTGTGAACAAAATCGATCAAGTACTGGATCATTAGAGGGAGGTGATGGTTCGCCAAAAGAACATCTTGTCATTGTTAAATGATTCGTAAAAATTGAATCACGTACAAGTTTATTAAATCGTTTATTAACACGGATAAATGAGTGGAGCACTGCAAAATTCTCCAATTTTTTTAAAATAAGAAGAAGAATTTCATCAGGTAAATCATTCAACTGAACGAACACTTCCTTCATGTTGAACTTCGCATCTATATTTCTTTTCGTTTATATACATTTATTCAATTTGACCGATTTCGTCAATAAAAAGAATGACAAATTTTTCTATAATCGAAATTGACGATGAATAGATGGAAAAGAGTGGTATCGTCTTTTGGAAAAAATGTGTTTTGAGCACCAGAAAAGGAGTGAAATGAGCACCAGATCGATGAAGTGTGTTTTGAGCACCAAAAAAAGAGTGAAATGAGCACCAAATTTATCGATATGTGAAATGAGCAC